TGTTTATTCTAGTTTTGTTTGTAAGTAGGTCGTGTGAGTTAATTCATTTATATTTACTATATGTCTTTTAAATTATAACATATTTGTTATTATGTATGTCCTTTTAGATTTTATCTGCAGCTCATACTTTGCAATCATCACCCAGTAGTGTCTTATTCTAGCATCGTGTAAATCCGAGCATCATCTGGTGGACTCTTAAACTTCAGTAGAAACCATGAGTTATTCATACATTTTCCATTCAGATATCAATATCAGAAGGAAACGTAAATGAATATTCTAAATAAGGCTAATTTGTATTAATCTGCCTTTATGTTTGGGGGAAAAAAGCTGAGACATTGCATGAAAGATGATGCAGGATATACGCTGATCTTTTGGCCCCATTGAGCTATTCGAACATTGTCCTGTTCTATTGTCAGTTTTCTTTTTTTTTTTTTTTTTTTTTTTTTGAGACAGAGTCTCGCTCTGTCGCCCAGGCTGGAGTGCAGTGGCCAGATCTCAGCTCACTGCAAGCTCCGCCTCCCGGGTTCCCGCCATTCTCCTGCCTCAGCCTCCGGAGTAGCTGGGACCACAGGCGCCGCCACCTCGCCCGGCTAATTTTTTGTGTTTTTAGTAGAGACGGGGTTTCGCCGTGTTAGCCAGGATGGTCTGGATCTCCTGACCTTGTGATCCGCCCGTCTCGGCCTCCCAAAGTGCTGGGATTACAGGCTTGAGCCACCGCGCCCGGCCCTATTGTCAGTTTTCTTCGTCATTTATTATATGGTCAATTTTTGAATTCCTGTAATATGAGACCCTTTTCTAGCTTTTAACTTATTGTGACCTAAAGTTAGTAAGTCCAGATTATATGGTCATTTAAAAAAAAAAAAGAAAAAATCCCTCACAGTTCCGTTTATTAAATAAGTAAACCCCACTAATAAGTATTTGTGTCCTGGCTTATAGTGGATGTCTAGAAAAGTAATACATAAGGAAAAATGTTCATCGTATTTGTTTAGTCATGGGATGTGTGTGCCTGTCGAGCACCTCTTCAACTTGGAATCTGATAGAACACCGCCACCCTCATTGCCTCGTTTTTCATTGACCTCACAGTAATTGCTTGTTCAGTAACTGCCACAACCCAGCATGGCAGAGAGAGGAAAGACACCCTTACAAAGCAAGGTAATGTTAACGTTGAGACCATGAACGGCCCTGAGCAGAGCCAGAGCATCACTGCTTCCTTCAACATTAAGGAGGATCTTATGGTGCCCTGTGAGTTCACGGGGGTGCCTCCGTGTAGACTGGAAACCACAGCTCTGCGTCCTTCCCTATTTCGCTTTTGATCGGTAGAAAGGTACCCTCCCTGGCCTGCACGTCGCCGGGTCACACAGCACCGGCTGTGGTTGCACAAAGCCACCGCCACCGGTATTCCTTTGAGGCCATTTGTTTCCAGCCATGGTGCCTGTAGGATTTTTTCCTTTATCCTGTAATTTCAGCCAAATCAGAGCATGTGACCTGGCTTAGATGTCAAGATAACTGTTGTTATGTGCTCTTTTCCTTTCCTGTGTCTGGGACAGGTTTAATTTAACCTGAGAAGGCTGCAGATCCTCGGGTTGATGTGAAAACAGCTCATCCTGATCTGAGAAGGCGGTCAGCTTTTCTGGTTGTCGCCCTTGGCTGACAGCACCCATTCTCTGTGGATGTGAAAATCCCAGAGACGCTGGGCTTTCTCCTTGGGCATTCCCCAGGCCTGTCTCCAGAGTGGGGCCCAGCATGGGAAGAGTGTACCCCACTCACTCCCGATGTGGGGCTTGGACCTGCAGCTCGACAGCGCCCATGGAATGTGGGTAGAAGCGACAGCAGCCGGGTCTACCTCAGCCTTAGGGCGGCGCGTGTCCTGCATGTGCGCTGGGAGCCTCCACCTTCCATGCTGTGGGAAGAGGGTGCCCAGGGAGCTGCAGTCCCTCCAGCTCAGTCCCAGGACGAGGCCCAGGCAGCAGAGCCATCCCAGCTGAGCTGCCAGCGTGAGAGAAATGCGTGTGTACACACTGAGTGTTCAGGTGGCTGTTACATGGCAGCAATGAGTGACACAGACAGAAAAGAGATCCACAAGGGAGAAGTGAGAGTGCTGGAGACTCCACAGGCCACAGGCCACAGGGGCAGGATGGCTTCTGAGGAGGTGACATGATTCTTCTGGGAATAACGTCACTCCATCTGACAGAGGAAGACATGGAGGGTCCAGATGGTTGAAGGCCCAGCAGTGATCCCAGACAGGCCCCACGTCAGACCAGGCTCCTCCAGGGCTGTGCTGCTGTCACCAAAGCCCATCCTGAGGGCAGCCACATGGCAGGCAGTGCTCGCCATTTGTACAGCGAGGCCCAAGTTCCAGCCTGCCTTCTGGCAGGTAGAGGAAGTAGGGGCACTGCCTGGGAGCACCTGAAAGCAGATGGGGCAGCATTTGGTCAAGAGCCAGGAGGGGATGACAGACCAGAGGGGAACCCTTGTCCCATGTGCTGAGTGCATGTGGGGGGCTGGGCACTTGCTCTGTGAGCTATAATTGGTGTCCCTGTGCCCCCCTGGAAGCTGCACCAGGCAGCTTCTTGGTGGAGGACAGTGGCCGCCCTCTAGCCTTACTCCCTTCCCCGTGATGGGTCGCTGTGAGATGTGTGTCCAGGAAAGGCAAACACCAAAGGCAGAGGACTAATTCCTACACCAAATCCTCTGGTGGCCTTGCTTGGGGACTGGATTTTGACAGCTGGAGGCTGTCCTAGACTCAGAGATTGAAAACAGGGAAGAACCATCGCTGAAACCTTTGGAAAAGCCTGCAACGGGGCCTCTGGCAGCCTGAGGAGTGGCGGTGTTTCCATCTGGTAGATGCCATCTCAATAGGAGGGACAGATGAGTGCACTGGCGCTGCCAGCCAGAGGTGTCTGTCGGCGTGTCTTTATGGAATGGGGCACCAGTCTTGGTGAGGGTGGTTTACTTTCCTATTTCTAGTCCCCACTGGGCCCACCTTCTGCTTCATGGCCAGCTGGCCAGACCTAGCACTTTCCTGACCTTTGACCTTGGCCCCTACTGACTCTGGCCCTTGAGGCTTCCTGCAGACCCCATTTGTATTCATTTCCTGCAGTTCTCATACCTGAATCTCGCCTGGACTTCTGCCAAGCCCTCCAGGCCCTCCTCCCCCAGGAAGACCACAGATACTATGTGCAGGGCTGTCCTTGGAGGGCTAGCACACCCCTTCCAAGCGGGCAAGACCCAGGGGTGGCTCAAAAGATAGCTGTGCCCTCGCCCTGGAACCTCTGAATGTTGATTTTTGTAGCAAAAAAGGATGCAGATGTGAGTAAAGGCTGGTGAGATAAGGACATCATCCCTGCTCTCCAAATGCAGGCACACACATCAGAAGACAAGGCAGCAACTGGGGTGATGCAGCCACAGCCAAGGAAGGCCAAGGATTGCTGGCAGCCTGCAGAAACTGGAGGGCAAGGAGCGTCCCCGCAGGGCCCCCAGGAGGAGCAGGGTCCTGCTGACACCCTGACTGCAGACGTCCAGTCTCCAGAACTGTGAGAGGATCCATTTCTATTATTTTAAGCAACCAAACTTGTGGTAGTTACAGCAGCCTCAGGAGATAAATACAAATGGAAAATCAAAAAGATTCCAAGAAATGAGTGGACCTGGCCGGGTGCAGTGGCTCACACTTGTAATCCCAGCATTTGCGGGAAGATTGCTTGAGCTCAGGAGTTGGAGACCTTGTCTCTACGAGAAACTTTAAAAAATAGGCTGGGTGCTGTAATCCCAGCACTTTGGGAGGCCGAGGCAGGCGGATCACAAGGTCATGAGTTTGAGGCCAGTGTGACCAATATGGTGAAACCCCCGTCTCTACTAAAAATTCAAAAATTAGCCAGGTGTGGTGGTGTGTGCCTGTAATCCCAGCTACCCAGGAGATTGAGGTAGGAGAATCGCTTGAACCCGGGAGGCAGAGGTTGCAGTGAGCCAGATAGCGTCACTGCACTCCAGCCTGGGCAACACTTCGCTTCAAAACTCTGCCTAAAAAAAAAAAAAAAAAAAAAAAAAACCCAATAGCTGGGCTTGGTGGCATGCACCTATAGTCCCAGCTATGTGGGAGGATTGCTTGAAGCCAGGAATTCAAGACCAGTCTGGACAACACAGCAAGACTCTACCAAAAAAATTTAAAAGTTAGCCAGGCACAGTGGCACACCCATAGTCTTAGCTACTCAGGAGGCTGAGGAGGGAGGATTATCTGAGCCCTGGAGGTCAAGGCTATAATGAGCCATGATTGTACCACTGCACTCCAGCCTTGGCAACACAGTGCAAGACCCTGTCTCAAAAACAACAAAAACCCAAAACAAAAACAAGAAATGACTAGACCTGAGGCCTGGCCTTTAGCTGCTGCCCTGCCCTTGTGATCTGGTCACTCAGGATCCCCTGGGCCCAAACACACAGCCTATTGTCCACTTCAAGAAGGCTCCCCACTGCCTGGCTGGCAATTGGGGTGGGCCTTGCAGCCCCCACCTGTCCTAGCCCCATGGCGCTGGTGCTGCAGGCGCCCGCCGCTGCTTGTTCCAAGCTCCTCAGCCTCCTGCAGGGTTGCCTGCACCTGATGGCGATGAATCCGGAAGGCAGGCGTGTCCTGGGCCACAGAGCAGTCATGGCTGTTCAGCCACCAGGGGGCTCCATTTGCAACCTTGGATGTGGCTTTGGCCTCTTAGTCCAAGGTGTCCTTGGGGGCCCCCAGACAAGAGACAGGGAGACTGGAGCCCAGCCCCACCCTCCTGCACATACCTGGCCCATCCCTGCCCTATCCTGGAAAATGGGGGCCACTGCACGTGCAAGGGACACAGGACAGGAACCTTTGGCCTTGTTATCAGATATTTTAACACCAAGTACAAACATGATTATCAGATGCAGTTTTTATAGCAGCAGGAAACCTGTGCTTGCAGAAATAAACACATGCCAGCAACCCACCTATGCGGAAAGCCACACAGAGCCATTGTTTTCTGCACCCTCAGGTGACATTTGCCCCAGGGAAGGTCACAGCTGCCTGAACCTTTAAAACTCCCGGACACACACTGCCTGTGCAGGATCTGGAACCCAGCAGCACTGCCAGGGCCTTGAAGTGCTGCTTCAGAGACCTCTCTTCATAAACTACTTTTTTTCTTAAAGCAGCAAAAGGAGAAAATTGACATCAAAGGATATTCCAGATTCTTGATAGCCTTCTCATCATCTGTGAGGACAGCCCCATCATCTCAGGTGAGCACCAGCTGGAGAGCCTCCGGGTGACTGGCCAGTTCGGAGCAGGGAGGGAGGCTTAGCATCTTGTCCTCCAGCGGAGAGTGAGGAGGCGGCTCCAGCGTCCCTCCCGGGCGGGTTTTCTGGTGGATGCGAGAGTGACTCGGGGTCCTCCACGTGGTGCCAGCTGTTTGGGTTTCTGGACGTTGTAGGAAAGGCTTGCGGGGGTTTCCCCTGCCCACGTCCCCCGACCTTCAGCTGCACCAGCCCCTGCCAGCTGGGCCCCTGGAGGCTGGAGTGCTGTGGCAGGGATGACGTCTCACTTCTGTTATGTCTCTGCGCCCTGTGCTCTCCCAGGATGAGGGGCATGAGGCTGCTGGGGGCTCTGCTGGCACTGTTGGCCCTACTGCAGGGGGCCATGTCCCTGAAGATCGCAGCCTTCAACATCCAGACATTTGGGGAGACCAAGATGTCCAATGCCACCCTCGTCAGCTACATTGTGCAGGTGAGGCCAGGGCGGCCTCTCCCCAGAAGCAGAGGGGCTCTGGAGTCTGGGGCTGGTGGGCAATGCCAGCCCTGTGGGGCCACAGAGTGTCTGGTGTGGGGTACTGAGCGCCTCTGCCCCCAGCCTGGCGGAACAGGCTCTTAGCTGCGGCCCAAGGTCCTCGTCCCTGCTGTGCTGTCCCTGGCTGGCAGCAGGAGTCCAGGCAGAAACATGAGGCTGCAGCTAAACCGAGCAATGCCACAAGCATCAACTGTGGCTCCCTTTGTGGCAGTGTGGGGTCCCTAGGTGGCACTAGCCCTGCTCAGCACCACTGTGGCCCTGCCCCCAGATCCTGAGCCGCTACGACATCGCCCTGGTCCAGGAGGTCAGAGACAGCCACCTGACTGCCGTGGGGAAGCTGCTGGACAACCTCAATCAGTGGGTGACAGTGGCAGGGTCCTAGGGAGGTGACATCTCGTCCAGGGCACAGTCTCACTTCACTTGGGCCCCAAGGGTGGGGACCTGGGCACAGCCTTGCTGTTGGCAGCCAGAGGTGTCCCCTAAGCCCCCTGCCCACTGGGACCTTTTGTTTCCTCAATCCAGGGATGCACCAGACACCTATCACTATGTGGTCAGTGAACCACTGGGACGGAACAGCTATAAGGAGCGCTACCTGTTCGTGTACAGGTGGGTGGTCCAGAAAGCCAGGAAGCTCCTCCTTCACCTGGGAGAGCCCCAGCAGAGCAGGGAAGGAGTTTGTCCTATGGGGCAAGAACCTGAGGCTGCAGGGCAGGTCCAGGGTGGAGTCAAAACACCCTCCTGAGATCCCGGACCCATGGGGTGAGCAGGTGGCGGCCTGCCCGCCCGCCCTCCTGTCTGTGATGCAACGCCTGCCTCCTGGGAAGCAGGAGTGGGGCAGCTTCCAGCCTGGGGTCACCTCCTCCTGCCCGGCCTTCCCGCAGGCCTGACCAGGTGTCTGTGGTGGACAGCTACTACTACGATGACGGCTGCGAGCCCTGTGGGAACGACACCTTCAGCCGGGAGCCAGCCATCGTCAGGTTCTCCTGCCCATTCACAGGTGGGTGCTGCCACACTGGGTGCTGCCTGGGCCAGGGTGGGGCACAGCTTGGTGCTTAACGGCCTCCACCCCCTCCTAGGGAACCTGGAATGCCTGTGTCACACACTGCCCTCCCAGTCCCTGGGGCTTGGGTTTTCCATTCATTTGGAACATGACCCCCCAGGGGGACTGTCAGGATTCACAGTTCCAACTGACATGGTGACTGAACCTGCCCCCAGGGAGTGGCCGCTGCACAGAGGTCAGGGAGTTTGCCATTGTCCCCCTGCATGCGGCCCCGGAGGACGCAGTAGCTGAGATCGATGCTCTCTATGACGTCTACCTGGATGTCCAAGATAAATGGGGCTTGGAGGTGAGACCCTCCCGGGGCAGTGGGCACCAGCGGCCTCCGCTTGTCCCTGGGCCCACAGGCAACGTTTCCTGGTAGGACGTCATGTTGATGGGCGACTTCAATGCGGGCTGCAGCTATGTGAGACCCTCCCAGTGGTCATCCATCCGCCTGCGGACGAGCCCCACCTTCCAGTGGCTGATCCCTGACACCGCTGACACCACAGCTACATCGACGCACTGCGCCTACGACAGGTGAGCAGGGTATCGTGCTTAGGGCAAAGAGCAGCCGTGACTGATACGTCCGGCTTCAGAAATCTCGAGGCCTTTGGACACTCACCCAACTGAACTTCAGTTGATCTACTCAGGAAACGGAATAACAAGAGCCACGATTTTTAGTTTTTTAGGAAAAGCACGTTTGGGGATAAGAGGAGAGGCAGACACATGAGGCTGTCACGTGGTTTCCACTCTGAGGGGCACAGGCCAGGGTGTGCAGTTTTGGGCGCCCACAGACCTGCAATGTCAGGTCCCAGGGCTCTTAGTTTAGTTCCTGTGAGCCCTGAGCCAGGCCCATGGGTGACAGGGGAACCTGCTCTCTCTTCCCAACACCCATCAGGATCGTGGTTGCAGGGACGCTGCTCCAGGACGCCGTTGTTCCCGACTCGGCTCTTCCCTTTAACTTCCAGGCTGCCTATGGCCTGAGTGACCAACTGGTACGTGTCCTCCCTTGCACAGTCACATGGGGATGGGACACAGGAACTTACGGTCAGCCCAGACCCTGTGCCCACTTGCCTGCAGGCCCAAGCCATCAGTGACCACTATCCAGTGGAGGTGATGCTGAAGTGAGCAGCCTTCCCCACGCCAGCTGAACTACAGGAAGAGAGGACCCATCCTGCCGCAGGAGCCAGACAAACAGCCCAACACTCAGGTTAAGAAATACCTTTTAATTTAGGTAAATAAAGCTCAAGGCGGCTGGGCTGTCATCTGTGGTGTCAGTCCTTCTGGCCCCCGGCTGTCAGTGTCGCTCCAGGGCCTTGACAAGCAGCTCATTCAAGCGGCCCACCATGGCCCTAGGGTCGTCAACAAGCCCAGCGGCAATCATGGCGTTCTCGTATATCTGAAAGGCAAGAGAAGAAACCCGTTATGAGGGCCGTGGGGCATCTTTTCATTTTTTTTTTTTTTTTTTTTTGAGACAGTCTCACTGTTGCCCAGGCTGGAGTGCAGAGGCACGATCTTGGCTCACTGCAACCTCAAGTGATCCACCAGCTTCCCAAAGTGCTGGGATTACAGGCGTGAGCCACCACACCTGGCCATTTTTCCCTTTTTAAAGCAGAATTTGGCTGGGCATGGTGGCTCACGAGGTCAGGAGACAACGTGGTGAAACCCCGTCTCTACTAAAATACAACAATTAGCCAGGCATGGTGGCATGCACCTATAATCCCAGCTACTTGGGAGGCTGAGGCAGGGGAATTGCTTGAACCCGGGAGGCGGAGATTGTAGTGAGCCAAGATCGTGCCACTGCACTCCAGCCTGGCAACAGAGCAAGACTCCATCTCAAAAAAAAAAAAAGGCAGGATTTTGGAGGAAACTGCTGTTCCAGCCTGAAGGTAGGCTCTCAGGGCTGGTAGCCCGGATCTGTGCAGTCATCCTGAGCTGCTGCACTCACCTGATCCACCAGCAGCTGGGCCAGGCCAGGCTCGCTTGCCCGCAGCTGATTCAGCTTCTTGATGAGCACATGCCTGCAACACAGAACCCACCAGAAAAAGCAGCTCAGGACCACGTGCTGCAACCCTCCCTTCATGTTTTGGGATTATCAGAATATTTAGTTTTTTAAAGGTATATAGATGATATGATTATATACCCAGAAAACCCAAGCGAAGCAGGAGTGTCAGTATTAGAAAATGCTGTAAGGTAGCCAAGTTCCAAGATCAAAATACACTAAAGGGACAAAAGGAGCTTATGTGAAGACATGCCTTGGTTCCCAGATAAATAATAGAAGGGAGGAAGTCCCACATGTTGAAACATATTATAGGGCTCTAGTAAATAAAACAGTTTAGCTCTGGAAAGGGGGAAGGCGAACAACTCCATGTAACGAGGGTGGACACTGGCCTGATGAGGACAGTATTTCACAGAAGAGGGAGGAGACAGATCACTCCGTCCGTCAGCACTGGGATAACGGGGAGCCATGCAGAAAACCATTTAGACCAGAGTAAATTCCAGAGGGATCAAAGATGAAAAGCACAATTCTAGGGAAGAAATGCTTCATAATCTCAGAAGGGGAAACCCAAAAGCCAAAAAAGCATCATGTAGTATTTAACATGAAAATTATAATTTTTCACTTAGGAGAAGTCTGATAAAACCGAGGGCTCCGGGGAACTGTACATTTGTACAACCTCTCCAGAGGACAACTGAACTCAGGAAAACCACATGTGGATGTGCTGAGACTCAGCTATTCCACTTCCTAACTGTAGCCCTTTAAATACTTCTTTTTGTAGATGGACTCTCACTCCTTCACCCAGGCTAGAGTGAAATTGCATGATCTTGGCTCACTGCAGCCTCCGGGTTCAAGAGATTCTCCTGCCTCAGCCTCCCAATTAACTGGGATTACGGGCACCCACTACCACCCCCAGCTAGTTTTTGGATTTTTAGTAGAGACGGGGTTTCGCCATGTTGACCAGGGTCTCGAACTCCTGACCTCAAGGGATCCACCCGCCTAAGCCTCCCAAAATGTTGGGATTACAGGCGTGAGACACCGCACCCGGCCTAAACCAGGAAACACTTTAAATGCACATCCTCACATTTCTAGTCTATGTAGCTGGAAAAAAGGACATTCTTAATATGCTAATGCGGAGATCACATAGTTACCCTACGGGAGAAAAGCAAGGCAAGGACCCACTGCACAGCAGGTTACCCCCAGGAAATCCAAGGGTGCAGCTGCCCACAAGAGCACATCATCTCTGCAGAAATACAAAAGCCCTAATGCTGGCTGCACTGGGGACACAGGTAGGAGGAAATTTTCCCCCGTAAACAGTTTTGAATTCTGAACTATGTGGACAGAACACCAAATTTTAAAACAAATAAAAGTGAACCTGGCTGGGCACAGTGGCTCTCACCTATAATCCCAGCACTTTGGGAGGCCGAGGCTGCAGTGAGCTCTGATGGCGCCACTGGCGCACTCCACCCTAGGTGACAGAGCAAGACCCTGTCTCCAAAAGTGAAGTCCTTTGGCAATAGACAGAAACGAGCACTTCTGCAGCTATCTTAAAAAACTAGTTTGGCACCAAAACTAGTTACAGTGACATGGTGTCTGCCTCACTGAGCTGCTCCAGCAGAGGCGCAGGCATTCTGCAAACTGGCACTGCTGTGGGAAGGTGCTTACTCGGCACTGACAGCCATAAGCCAAGTCAGCTTTTCCCCCAGCAGTGCCACGGCCAGGACAATGCATCTCCCTCACCGCCAGTATAATTTTTAAAGGTAAGATTCTAAAATGACAAAAAAAAAAAAAAAAACTAGACATGTACTAAAGAACAAAACAAACCCTGGCTGGGGATGGTGGCCCACACTTGTAATCCCAGCACTTCGGGAGGCCAAGGCAGGTGGACCGCGTGAGCCCAGGAGGTAGAGGTTGCAGTGAGCTGAGATCGCCCCACTGCACTCCAACCTGGGGGACAGAGGGAGACCCTGTCTCAGAAATTAAAATACGACTTAGGCTACATTGTGGGGAGTGATAAGGCTATGGATTTTTATTTCCTTTCTGTTGTTTTCTAACATTTTTGGTAACTTGTTTATGTAACTTCATTTTTTAAAAAATTGCTGTATACAAAATTTCCCTCAGAAAAGAAACTTCATCTATAACAAGTTAGAAAATGAAATTTTAAAATACCCACTAACACACATCAAAGAATAATTCTTTAAAAATGGTACCAGAACTCTACAGAGAATGTAAGGTACCAAAGGATGTTGAAGACCTAAATAAAAATATCACATTCATCGGTGCAAATAAGTGATACTGTAACAGTGTCAATTCTCCTGAAAACTCATTTAGGGAATCTCAAAACAATCTCAGTCAAACCCCAACAGGCCAGACGCAGTGGCTCACACCTATAATCCCAGCACGGTGGATCACATGTGGCCAGTTTGAGACCAGTCTGGGCAACATAATGAGATCCCATTTCCACAAAAATTTTTTTTAAGAATTAGGAATGATGGTTCACACTGTCTCAGCTACTCACGAGGCTAAGGCAAGAGAATCATTTGAGCCCAGGAGTTTGAGGGTGCACACATCACTGCACTCCAGCCTGGGCAGCACAGACCTTGTCTCAAAAGAAAGAAACATAGGAACAATGAATTCATGACTCTGTAAAGATCTCTTAAGATCCCAAAAAAGCATCTAATGAAAACGTAAATGTTCTATTAAGAATACCTACTCATCAAAAGATACCTAAAGGCAGGTGAAAAGACATTTACAACAGATAAAGGGCATATAAAGAATAGCGGGAAGAAAGGAGGGAAATCTTACATGCTTAGCCACTGTCAGGGCTGGGGGTTCTTGGTCCACCCTGGAAGCAGCTCCCACCACCGGGGCCACAGAGAAACCCACACAAGCCCCAGACGCTCGGACAAGAATATTCAGAGCAGCGTGGTTCTCCACCACTTCTGACCAAGAACCCCCCGAGGCCCAGCAGAGCAGAACGGAGGAGTCTGCAGCGGATATTATTCGGCTATGAAAATGAACTTGTGGGCCGGGCGCGGTGGCTCAAGCCTGTAATCCCAGCACTTTGGGAGGCCGAGGCGGGCGGATCACAAGGTCAGGAGATCGAGACCACAGTGAAACCCCGTCTCTACTAAAAAATACAAAAAAATTAGCCGGGCGCGGTGGCGGGCGCCTGTAGTCCCAGCTACTCAGGAGGCTGAGGCAGGAGAATGGCGGGAACCCGGGAGGCGGAGCTTGCAGTGAGCCGAGATCACGCCACTGCACTCCAGCCTGGGCAACAGCGTGAGACTCCGTCTCAAAAAAAAAAAAAAAAAAAAAAAAGAAAATGAACTTGTGGCAGCCCCTCTGCGTAGGCAACCCTCATGCCAAGTGAGCAATGTGAGACTTCAGCAAACACCAAGATCCACGTACAAAGCTCAAAACAGGCAAAACTGAGCATGTTCAGGACATGCACAGGTGGCAAAGCCACAGACCAAAACAAGGACATGGTCACAAGTTGGGATGCAGCTGGCCGGCCAGGTTCCGTTTCACATGGGTGCAGCCTAAACTGAATACAGCTCCTCAGAGTTACCCACATGTCCACAGGCCTCACGCACTTCTCTTCTGTGTCACATTCCACAACAGAAGAACACCACACACAGGATTCTGGGGGATCCCGCAGGCTGGAAGGGCCAGGAGTGTGGCCTCACCTGGGGTTGATCTCCAGCGTGGGCTGCAGGAGCTGTGCACGCTCCTCCTGGGTCTTGGCCAGCTGCTGCATGCGCAGGAAGTGGCGGGCAGCCCCCATCTCCAGCACGGTGACCATGGCAGGGTGGGTGTCCAGTCGGAGTGTCACCTGTGAGCAAAGCCAGGGGTTGAGGGTGATAAAGGCTCCCAATGTGAGAGGGCTGAGGACTGGCAGCATCTTAACCAGGGGTGAAGGTCACCCAGACTACGAGGTAGCAGGCAGGATCTCAAGGACTGTCCTGTACCAGTGCTACTCCCTCCCCATGACCCACTAACCTGTGGGCCCTGAGCTGATGCCCCACACAGATACTGTGCCTTAGGGGCTCCACCACCCTGGTCCCCTGCTGCTGCCTCCAGGAGCTGCCCAAATCCATCCTCTGGTCCACGCCAGCCCACCCTGCATGAGGCCCCTCCTCCAAGTGACCATGCATGGGACACTCATTTTTTGCTCCAAGCTAGACTGATTCGGTGGGGGCGGGGGCGGGTCTTAGCTCTCTGAAGCCCACCCAAAACCCCCTAAGAACCCAAGGGAGAAGTGAGCTCCTGAGGGCTGGGGTAGCATGTCCCTTCTTCGGAACCCCCACGTCCTCAGCTCCTGCTGAGGGTTGCGACCGGGACAGTCCACTGGGGCTGCGGGTTTTTCCGTTTTCAGTTCGCAGCTGCTCGGGAGCAGGGCCGGGAGGAAGACACTGCCCTCCTGCCTCAGCGGCACTCCCGGGCGACACGTGCCCACCAGCGACCCACAGGGTCTCCAGCTGACACCATGGGCTTCTGCTGCTGCTGGAAGGACACCCACCGGGCCAGGTTCTAGAAGCTACCAGCTGGCCGGCCTGTTAGGCACACTGAGGGCCACAGTGGCTAAGTGGTCATCCATCCCCAGGAAAGCCTCACCTTCACGTTGGTGACACGCGACCCCAGCACGTTTCTCATCCAGGCCATGAGCTCCTCCGTCTCCTCCTCTGACAGGCGCTCGGCAGCTGCGGAAGAGCAGGCGAGTGTGAGCTCAGGCCTGCACCCCCACTCCCCGGCTTCCATGGGGGCCATGCGGCATCCTGCTAGCTCCCACCTCCTCTCCCGCCAGGACGGAGATAGAAGCTAGCAAGATGCTTTTCATCTCAAAGTAAAACCTCAAAGGATGCTTCAGGTTGCCTGAGGCCCATACAACTTGGTTAGGGCTTTAAAAAGACAACACACAGCCTCTCAAGAAGCTGGGCCAGCTCCAGAAGCCAGCATGGTAGGAACACTGGACGGATCCTTGGTATCTAAACCAGAAGGCACCTCCCCCCCGTCACCAGGGTGCTCCCACAAGGCTCTTCTCGGGGGTGGCTGAGCCCAGGTCAACTGAGGAAAACCCAAGGGAAGCCCTCACTGCAGGACAGCAGAGGCGTGCAGGGAGTAGGCACTGGCCCCATGCCTAGAAAGCAGGGGATGCCCACCTGGAGACCCGTCCTCAAACTTCTCCTCCTTGTAGTGATCCACGACGATGTCTGTCTCCACGGAGATCAGCTGCTTCTTGTCAAACTCACGAAGGTGCAGCAGGGTGAGCTCATCGAACTGCTCATAGCAGAAGAGAACCTGCAGGTGGTCAAGAGCAGCTCGGTCAGGCCTGGGGGCCTCCCCCCACCACAGAAGAAAGGAGGAGGGCTGAGGGAGCCAAGTGGGCCACACGGGGGAACACTGGGGCAGGTGGGGATCCCAGGCCTACGTGACAGTTACTGCCACACCTGGGTCTGAGGAAGGCTCTCATCTGCCTTCAAGGCAGAAGCACTCCACGCATAAAGAAATCCACATGTGGCTGAGTGCAGTGGCTCATGCCTATAATCCTAGCACTTTGGGAGGCCAAAGCGGGCAGATCACAAGATCAGGAGTTCGAGACCATCATGGTGAAACCCTGTCTCTACTAAAAATACCAAAATTTGCTGGGCGTGGTGGCGGGCGCCTGTAATCCCAGCTACTCGGGAGGCTGAGGCAGGAGAATGGCTTGAACCTGGGAGGTGGAGGCTGCAGTGAGCCGAGATCACGCCACTGCATTCTAGCCTGGGCGACAGAGCAAAGACTCTGTCTCAAAAACAAACAAAAAAACGCACATGTGACTTCCAAGTGACACACACAACCATCACAGTCAGTCCAGCCTCTGTGTCCGTGACCCTGACTCACCGTGCAGCCCCACCCTGCATTGTGGGCAGGTTCACCCAGCAGAGAGCTGAGAAGGTCAAGACCCTCCCCCGGCTGCAGCCCCAGGAGCCTGCCCCACCCACCGCTCACCCACCTCTGTGTCTTTCTTCTTCATGGCCTCATAGTAGGGCGAGTGCTCTGCCAGGTGCCGGTTGGGGGCGCACAGGTAGTAGATGTTGCGGGTGCCGGCCTGCATGCGACTGGCGTATTCTGAGAGGCTGGTTAACTGCCCGGCGGGCAGCGCTGAGGACTCGTAGCGCAGCAGCTTTGCTATGTCCTCCTGGAAGGGACGGGGCAGGTCACCATTTGCTCCAGGCCCATGGGCTCAATATCCCTCAACCAGCTGGGTGCAAACCCTCTGATGCCCATGGCCTCCTGACACTCCAGGCTGGCCCTGACGCGAAGGACAGTAGTAGACTTGGGGGTTGTCTGAGACCAGGCCTTGCTCTGCCCATCAGGCCCCTTTCGGGAGCTCTGGGGGCTTGGGAAGCACCTCTTGCAGGGGCTCTCCAGGGAGCTACGCGCACCATGCCCTGGGAGGGGACCCCCTGCCCCGCAACAGCAGAGCCTGGCCTGGACCTAGCATCTTCCCTTTCCCCGCAGCGACAGAGGCAGTCTCTGGTGAGCACACGGACATGGGTGAAGTCCACGGTTCTCAGTCCTCCTCACAGCTGGCCAGTGGGTGTCAGTGGGATTTGGAGAAGGGCCCTTAGAGGAGGGGTTTGCCCTCCTCCCCATCACCTGAACACAACTGTGACCTCTGGAGCTCATGGGAGCTGCCGCTGGAAGGACACAGCGGGGAAAACAGACGGAAAGAGGGAAAAGCAAGGAGCTGGGCATCCACCCAGCAGGGCCCAGGCCACCCCTGCACACATGGTGGGTCTGCACTAAGACATGTCACACATGCACACCTACAAAGACCTAGAAATGTCTCTGGCTCCTACCTATGTGCTATTAACTCAAATGAAGATAAACGAGAATGAAGAGGCCTGTGTCAGAAGCTGCAGGAGTCTGCAGACCACCAGAACGCAGCCTCCTTGGGACCCCACACGCGTGGTCACCCTCCTCCCGCTGCTGGAGAGAAGGGACATCAGCACAGGATGGGCTCCTAGGATGACATGTGCTGGGATTACGGTGGAGGCAGCTGCACCACACTGTGAATGCACTCAATGCCACTGAAGTGTACGTGTTAAAAGCTGAATTCTGTGAATTTGATGCTATGTAAATTGTATCTCAATAAAAAATGGACAAAAAATGTTTATGGAACAAATGTTTTGTTTTTCAGCCATCCACTGTTTCAGTAACTGAATGACTGGCCCCAGTAGCATAGTATTTGGAGACTGATATCCAGTACATGATAAATAGTCCCTCAACAGACACTGAGACCACCCCCTTCCCCACCTACAGGATCACAGTCCTTGGCTTGTCCCGCCTCTCTGTGGCTCCCCAGCCCCCAACATCCTCTGCGGGGAGACAGTCTGCGCACACCCCCTTCCTGCCACTACCTGGGCTGCAACTTCAGACAGCAGTGAGGCTGAGCCCTTCAGAATAGAGCACAGCACTGGCAGGAGGCTCAGGACGCGGCTAGAAGGTGCCAGAGGCCCAGAGGCCCGACTTTCCATTTCCTGACCCTGGCAGCAGCAGCAGCAGCAGCCAGGGGGCCCAGCTGCACCACCATCACGTCAGGGGATGCCTCCACCAGCTTCCTCAGCAACCCCAGGGACAAGGCGGCCCAGAGAAAGGCCTGGAACACAGCTCCTACCTTGACCTCCTGCTCGGTGGTGGTCACAATGCCCTCCCGCATGAACAGGCCGTAATCTTCAAAAAACTTTGCATATTTCTCAGCATCTTTTTTACTCTGGTCAATGAAGAATTTGATCAGCCTCTGCTGTAAAACGTCCCGGAGTTTCCTACAGAAAAGAAATGCATTTAATACATACAAGCAGCCTCTATGAAATACAAATGGCCAGAGGGTACAAAAAAATGTTCAGCCCCCCTAAGAATCAAAATAGTGAAAACAACAAGGTACCGTTATTGGCCCAACTGAAAAAGACTGAGCAGAAACACAGAAACCCTGGGCAGTGGCCGGACAGGAGGCAGCAGGGTGGAGCGCACACACCCCCCGGAGGCGGGAGGAGAACCGCTGCCCCCAGAGACAGATACCCACACCCAGAAAACACTTCCAACCTTTGAGCCAGTTGTTCCGATTGTAGGAACTGCACCTTAGGAAACACGTGAGCACACCAAGATTTACGTACCAGGATTTTCACTGTGGCACAGAAAATATAATTATGAACAACTTCATGTTCAAGAATATAGGCTAAAATTATGTAATGCTAAATGGCCATTAAACAAAAAGCATCTTTTAATAATCCTCAATGACATGAGAAAGTTAACTGTTGAAAGAAAAACCAGAAAAATCCCAATATGGGTAAATTACAGTATGTCTATAGATACAGGCAAAAACTGTATATTCTACATGTACGTAACAATTTTCCATAATTAGGAGCAGCATTGTCTATACTATATATGTGCACTGTAATTTGGGGTTTATACTGAATATATGTACACTCTCATTTTTCAAAATTGGGATTTGAGGGATCAGGATATTTACTGCAGCATTACATAATGGCCTAAAATTAGGAACAACTTTATCACTGGGATTAGGGATATTTTTATTTCCTTCTTAATATTTCGCCTTTCCTTTAAGCAGGTAAATTACAATGTATTTCAACAATCCAGAGCAAGGGAACAACACTGTATCAAGTTCATTTACAGCCTTTCCTCCTGCACTCCATCCCCAGTGACTCAGTGCTTCAGCCACAGGGCAGAATGGGACAGGACAGTAGCCCAGGATGCGGTGCAGAGCCCAGGGAAAGCGTCTATGCAGGGCCATGGTTGGGAAGTGCCTGGTATGGGTGTCAGAGCCCAAGAACCCCAGAGAAGGGTGTCCAGGCTGGGGGCATGACCAGCCCACTGTGGAGAGTCAGAGCCCAAGTGGGTGACAGGGACATCCGCAGAAGAGGGCAGTGGCAATGGTAGATTGGTTACATGGAGGGGGATTGGTCAAATGGGTAACTGTGTTAAGAATAATCAACCGGGCGAGGTGGCTCATGCCTGTAATCCCAGCACTTTGGGAGGCTAAGGTGGGTGGATCACCTGAGGTCAGGAGTTCCAAGACCAGCCTGGCCAACATGGTACCACCCTGTCTCTACTGAAAATACAAAAATTAGCTGGGCATGGTGGCGGGCGCCTATAATCCCAGCTACTCAGGTAGGCTGAGACAGGAGAATCGCTTGAACCTGGGAGGTGGAGGTTGCAGTGAGCTGAGATCACACCACTGCACTCCAGCCTTGGCAACAGAGCAAGAATCAGTCTCAAAAACAAAACAAACAAAAAGAATGAGAGACAGATTTCTCACTGTCCAAAGGGACTTTCAGACACAGGAGAAGGAAAGACCAGAGCATCCCAGTGGCACTGGATTCATATTGGAGGTATCAGTGGGAACATGAGAAAAATAAATCAAGGTATAGGTATAGGTATGTACACACACACACACACACACACACAGACACACACACACCCCACTCTCTGTCTCTCCTCTTCCTAAGCTCTATCTACTAAGAGGGCCTGGGAGCACTGACACCTTAATAGTGATGAACACCCACAGTGCCCAGATCTTGGCTTCTAAATACCATTCTCCGTTAAAGGAGATAGGGATCCTCAGAAAGTAGTAGTCCTAGGGCTAAAAGGCTTCATGCAATACAAGGTGAGCCTGGAACATCTGGTACCAGAGGAAGTCCTCAGAGCAGGATCTGCCCAGGGCCTGTCCAAAAGGATGGGAGACCATGAAGAGGCTCGCACCGGCCACATCAGGGACCATCTGAACGTCAAAAATAATAGGCCAGATGCAGTGGCTCCCACCTGTAATCCCAGCACTTTGGGAGGCCAGGGCAGCTGGATCACTTGAGGTCAGGAGTTCGAGATCAGCCTGATCAGCATGGTGAAAATCTGTCTCTATAAAAAGTAATAAGCCGGGCATGGTGGCTCCCACCTGTAATCACAGCACTTTGGATGGCTGAGGCAGGTGGATCACCAGAGATCAGGAGTTTGAGACCAGCCTGGTCAACATGGTGAGACCCCATCTCTATTAAAAGTACAAAAACTTAGCGGGGCATGGTGGTGGGTGACTGTAGTCCCAGCTACTTGAAAGGCTGAGGCAGGAGAATCGCTTGAATCTGGGAGGCAGAGGTTGCGGTGAGCTAATATCTTGCCACTGCACTGCACTCCAGTCTGAGCAACAGAGTAAGACTCTATCTCAAAAATAAATAAATAAATAAATAATTTTAAAAAAATTTTAGTAATAATAGCAACATATTATAAACTCTTGAATAAAACATGAAATCAGCCCATATGAATAAATTATAAATAGTATAAACATAACACAATTTTTTTTTTTTTTAATCAGACGGAGTCTCGCTCTTGTCCCCCAGGCTGGAGTGCAGTGGCGCGATCTCGGCTCACTGCAACCTCTACCTCCCGGATTCAAGCAATTCTCCTGCCTCAGGCTCCCGAGTGGCTGGGATTACAGGTGCCCACCACCACGCCCAGCTAATTCTTCTTTTTTTTTTTTTGAGATGAGTCTCACTCTGTTGCCCAGGCTGGAGTGCAGTGGCGTGATCTCGGCTCACTGCAACCTTCACCTCCCGGGTTCAAGCAATTCTCTGCCTCAGCCTCCCGAGTGGCTGGGATTAGAGGTGCCTGCCACCATGCCTGGCTAATTTTTTTGTTTTTTCAGTAGAGATGGGTTTCACCATCTTGACAGGCTGGTAACTCCTGACCTTGTGACCCACCTGCCTTGGCCTCCCAAAGTGCTGGGATTACAGGCGTGAGCCACTGTGCCCAGCCAAATTTTTCTATTTTTTTTTTTTTTTTTTTTTGAGACGGAGTCTGGCTCTGTCGCCCAGGCTGGAGTGTAGTGGCCGGATCTCAGCTCACTGCAAGCTCCGCCTCCCGGGTTTACGCCATTCTCCTGCCTCAGCCTCCCGAGTAACTGGGACTACAGGCGCCCGCCACCTCGCCCTGCTAGTTTTTTGTATTTTTTTTTTTAGTAGAGACGGGGTTTCACCGTGTTAGCCAGGATGGTCTCGATCTCCTGACCTCGTGATCCACCCGTCTCGGCCTCCCAAAGTGCTGGGATTACAGGCTTGAGCCACCGCGCCTGGCCAATTTTTCTATTTTTTAAGTAGAGACGGGGTTTCACCATGTTGGCCAGATTGGTCTCGAACTCCTGACCTCAGGTGATCCACTCGTCTCGGCCTCCCAAAGTGCTGGGATTACAGGCGTAAGCCACCTTGCCCGGCCAACACACAAATATTTTAAGTAAATAAATGAATATATTGAGAGTTTCATGAAGAATGTGACATTTACATAGCTTCAAAATACCACCCCTGTCACATCTGTTCATTACAAAGGGGAGGACATCCTTGTTTGTTGGAAATGCACCCCAAAGGCATCGGGAAGGCAACTTCCTCTCACAGGGTTCGAGGAAAAACATGTTCTTGGTACCATGCTTCCAACTTTTAAGTCTGTGATTCTTTTAAAAGCTCTAATTTCAGCTGACTCTTTTCTGACCGAGATGAGTTCTCAGACTGACAACGCAACCTTTGACAACCACAAGCTGGGATGAGGACTCCTGCTCTGCAACTTTGGGCACCACCAGGGGGCCAGCAAGCCTGCCACAGCCAGGAATGCAGCTCCCTTACTGAGGAAGACCACCCCTCTGTGACTCAGTTTCCACAACTATGAGTGAGGACTCCCGGCTCCCCTCACAGGATGAAGCAGGTGTTTATGCAGGCTCAGCACCGTTCTCAGTGAAGAAGAAACACTCAGGAAACACATTCAGAAAGGGGAGAGGAATGCAGTCGCCTCAGCCTGCAGGGACGCCAGGAGCTCCCTCTCCACAGGGCCTGGCCCCTGCCTCCACTTCATCCGTGAGCTTCCCAGATGAGGCCAGACGTGTCCCCAGTTCAGTGGGTGTCCTTTGCTTTATCCAGCCCAGGGACATTGTGCCTGGAACCTCCCCTCCTGTGGCCACTCCTGGGCAGGGTGATGGGGGTGGACAAAGGGTGGGGACAACTCCAGTACCAGCAATAATCTTCCGGGAGTCAGCCCCAAGCCCTCTCTTCACTGAAGTGAACTGAAACATTGGGCAGACCACCAGTAACCCACAGGCGCACTCCACGCACACAGGGTCAATACACCAAAGAGCACGACTCTAACGATCACAGAACAGTTACTGCTGTGGAGTGGGGACGCATCCTGCCGAGGTCAGCACATCTGCTGCCCTGCGGTCATGTCAGCAGCAAGGTGGGGTCCTGCTGTCAGGAGCCAGCACGGCTGTGTGGGGAAACAAGGACTGAGGTCCCCTTTTCATTGATTATATAACGTATCTGTAGTGAGCAAGGAAAATACCTTTTATATGGTCAAATCCTCTGTCCAAGTAACCCCACCCCTAGTATTCTATCCTAAGGAAATATAGCTGCAGGTAAAGATTTCAGAACAGGCCGGGTGCAGTGGCTCACACTTGTAATCCCAGCACTTTGGGAGGCCAAGGCAGGCAGATCACAAGGTCAGGAGATCACGACCATCCTGGCTAACACGGTGAAATCTCGTCTCTACTAAAAATACAAAAAATTAGCCGGGCGAGGTGGCGGGCGCCTGTAGTCCCAGCTACTTGAAAGGCTGAGGCAGGAGAATGGTGTGAACCCGGGAGGCAGAGCTTGCAGTGAGCCGAGATCGCGCCACCACACTCCAGCCTGGGTGACAGAGCAAAACTTCGTCTCAAAAAAACACACACAAAAAGATTTCACAACAAAGATAAACATGTGCACTGCAGTGTCATAGAGCAGAAACACTGAGACGGCCCAGCTGTGCAGCCCCGAGGGACGGGATCGGTAAACTACGGTATGTCCCTGTGATATCCCATGATGTAGCAACTAAAAGTGCTTCCAAAAAATGACATGGGAACTGCTGCAAATAAACTAGGTAGAAAAAAGGAAACAGAGTATAAGCAATATGCATTCAGTTGTGTGAAAAACAAAAACAAAAAATCTAAGTGGCCAGGTACAGTGGCTCATGCCTGGAATCCCAGCACTTTGGGAGGCTAGGCCAAAGGATTGCTTGAGCCCAGGAGTTCAAGACCAGCCTGGGCAACACAGTAAGATCCCAACTCTACAAAAAATACAAAAAAATTAGCCAGGCATGGTAGCTCACACCTGTAGTCCCAGCTACTTGGGAGGCTGAGGTGGGAGGATTGCTTGCGCCCGAGAGGTTGAGGCTACAATGAGCTGTGATGACACCACTGCATTCCAGTCTGGGCAACACAGCAAGACCCTATCAGTCAACCAATAAAAGCATTACTGCGGCTTGCTTGGTTGAAAACAGAAAAAAATCTCCGTGGCTCTCTCTGCCTCTGAAGTGAGGTGGGAGGACATCACCGGCAGGCCATGTGACCTGTGCAGGGCTGGGCATGGACCCAACAGGCAGGAAGCCACACTGTCCACCATCTCCCCAGACCTGCTCCTGCCCATGGCACAGGACAGAATCTCTGAGGGCCAGTGCCTCTCAGTATGGGCCTCTCGCCATCCCCACAGTACAGCCCAAACACACAACAACTACCCAGCCTCATCCTTTACCCGAGAAGCCGCTTCCATTTCAACACTGGAGAAAAATCGGTGGAAGAACGCACTGTAGGCACGTGGCGGGCTCTGACAAGGCCCGCTCCATGGCATGCTGCACATGGTGGGCTCTTGAGACACCTCCCGAGCTCCTAATTCCAGCTGAATCCTCACCCCACAGGCTCCCTCTGAAACCTGCCCTATGTGGCTGCCAATCTACCCAACCCTAAACCGTCAACAGCGGTCATCTCTGGAGGAGAGCACAGGTGGCTTGAATGTGCTCTAGTAAGGAAATATTACTTGCATTAGGGGAAAAAAAGCCAGTAAGCGAGGTTTTGAACAAAGACTATTTGGTGAGCCTGGGGCCAGGATGGGGAAGTCATAGCTACTGATGGAGAACCCGGAGCTAGTGCACTGGAGTCCCCTCTACACAGGGCTGGCCTGCTGCAGGGTTGCAGTCACAACCCTGGGGCACAGGTGGGCAGGTCTGGCTCTGCGGCCCCTCCCCCTATCCAGACTCCAACCTCAGCCATGACCAGCTGTCCCCACGTTCTTCTGGACCACAGGCCTCAGAAGCCAGGCCAGCACCTGGAAGGCTCCTGAGGGCCCCCATGTGCAGGCCAGGCTTCCCCATCCACCTCTGCTCTCAGCTCCATGGGCCATGGCTAGGGCCCTCTGGGGGCAAAGGAGCGGGTAGGGGCCTTGTCCCCAGCACGGTCCTCTCCCCACGGCCCCAGGCTCACCTGATGAGCATGCTCTCCTGCAGCAGCTCCCGGCTGAGGTTCAGGGGAATGTCCTCACTGTCCACCACACCTGGGAGACACGGCAGTCAGCTTCTCCGAGGGCTGCGGCCCTCCACACCACCCAACATTCCCCATTAACCTGTCCTTTGTCTTCAGGCCTGGCCTTCAACCCAGCACGTGTGCTAAGAGGGAAGCAGAGAGGTGGCACTGGCGGAGCTTCCTCTACGTCCTGCCACCTCCCAGAACAGTGACCTGGGCTGCGGGTGGGCGGGCCAGCCTCGGGATACACTTGGACAACCACAGCCTGGGCTTTATGTTAAAAATCTTAACTCTGGCTGGGCACGGTGTCTGATGCCTGTAATCCCAGCACTTTGGGAGGTTCAGGCAGGCATATCATGAGGTCAGGAGTTCAAGACCAGCCCGGCAATTATGGTGCAACCCCATCTCTACTAAAAATACAAAAATGAGCCGGGCGTGGTGGCGCATGCCTGTAACCCCAGCTACTCAGGAAGCTAAGGCAGGAGAATCACTTGAACCCAGAAGGCAGCGGTTGCAGTGAGCCACGACTGTGCCACCGTACTCCAGCCTGGGTGACAGAGCAAGACTCATCTCAAAAAAAAAAAAAAAAAAACTCCATCAGGGATGATTTGCACCTATGTGTACCAAAGCTTAAATACTGAAGTCTTTCTTAAACTATAATCTCACTCAAATGTAACACAAGTCACATATAAACCTGAAACTCACACAATATCCCTACACACGGAAAGACCTCAATGTGAACACCCCAGTGCTCCCCCAAGATCAGCCATTCACACAGGGAGGCGGGGCAGCTCCCGGGGTGTGTAAACGTGGTTGACTCGCAGGCCCACGGGCAGTGAAGGCCTATGGTGGTGCAGGCCCACGGCGGTGCAGGCCCGTGGTGGTGCAGGCCCACAGCGGTGCAGGCCCGTGGTGGTGCAGGCCCATGGCAGTGCAGGCCCATGGTGGTGCTCTCGCTGCGGATGGCTGCTGAGAACGGAATCAGCCAGGTCCCTCACAGATGCAGCAGGCGACACCAGGCCACAGGGGCACAGCTCACGGACTCTGGGCAGCGTACCTCGGATGAAACGCAGCCACTTGGGCAGAATGTCCGTGGCCTTGGTCTGGATGAGGACTTTGCGGCTGTACAGTGCAATGCTGGAGCCCAGCTCCCGGCTCACGTCAAACATGGACGGTTTCTGGGGGTGAGGAGAACACGCCATCATGTGGCACTGACCCTCCCCCCAGGTAGGTCCTCGCTGGGAGGCAGGGGGCAGACGCGATGAATCCAGCGCCCACTGCCCCCCTCAACCCTCCCCTGGCATCTGCTCTGAGTTGAAGCCCAGTGCAGGGGCCCCACAGTGCCCCACACCGTGGCTCTGCAGGGGCCGAAGGCCTTCTCTGGCAGCTGCTGCCCTCCCCAGTCCACCCCCTAAGGAGGACACAAGAAAGTGAACCTTGCACGTACCCCTGAATACCCTGAACACAGCCAAACTTTGCTACAGGTCAGGGGTCAGCAAAAAGCCCTCCAGCCAAATCCATCTCACGGCCTACCTCTGTGTAGCCTAAGAGTCGTTTTCACACTTTCAAACAGTTGAGGACAGATTTCGGAAAGGAGGATCTCATGAGACATGAAGATGAAATTCAAATTTCAGTGTCTATGCAGCTCATGGGACCCAGCCCTGTGTGCTCGGGGGGCAGCATGGGCGATGCTGCTTCCTCACCCGGCAGGGTTAGTAGCTACGACAGAGACCAGGTCCGAAAAGCCGGGGCCAGCTCCTGTCTGGCTCAGTTCCTGTCTGTCCCTCACGGAACCCGTCTGCCAGCACCTGCTCCATACTGGCACTTCCGGAACCAGGACCCACACCTCATCACAGGGGATCCGGTGAAAATGCGGGACTATCTAGTTCAAATGTGAAGGGACCTGGTTAAAATGTGGGGGGACTTGGTTAAAATCCAGGGAGTCTGCTTAACATCCAAGGGATCTGGTTAAAATGCAGGGGGACCTTGTTAACATGCGGGGAGAGCTTGTTAAAATGTGGGCTCCCACGCAGGGACCCTGGGTGGGGCCTGAGACTCTAACAAGCCCCTGGAGGCCACACCTGGGTGGCTCTTTCCAAGACGGATGCCAACTGTGCGGGACATTACGAGAGTTCCAGGCAGACAAGGACAGGAAAGCCTGGGGCGGGACAGGCTGGCTCTCAGCCCCCAATAGGTCTCCTTACGGCAGGATCTGTGGGCACTTCAGTGTGGTAAAGGAAAGCAGGGGAGTTGGAGGGTGTTGAGGAAGCACACAGAGGCCCACAGAGCGGCAGACCACAGGCCTTCCCAGAGCGCCTGGCAGGACAGCATCCACTGATCCACAGCAGGTGATGCAGGCTCTGAGGGCCCTCCCCAGGCAGGCCCCAGTCCACAAGCCCCCACCCCAGCCTGCACTGAGATGCCCATCAATCCTTCCCTCGCCATGTGTGACCCCTGAGGGAGGAAACATCTGTGGTCACCCACCCAGAGGCATCTGTTCTTTCTTTTTTTTCAGCGATGAGGTCTCACTATGTTGGTCAGGCTGATCTGCAACTCCTGGGCTCGGGTGATCCACCCTCCTCAGCCTCCCAAAGTGCCGGGATGACAGGCGTGAGCCACTGCACCCAGCACTACCTGTTTTTTATGCCCTCACGCGGCCACGTTAATCACGTGACATCTGCAGAGCTGACGTCACGGGGGGACAAAACAAGAGTCCCCCCGAGGGCCATGGGCCTGCCGCAGCAGCTCACCGTATCCGGCACGTAGAAGAGGCTGCGGATGTTGAGCGGCGCGTCCGTCTTATAGTGCAGGGTGTAGCGGGGCTTGTCATAAGCCTGCGCGATGTAGCGGTAGAACTCTTCATGTTGCCACTCGCTGATGTCCTTGGGGTCCATCATCCAGATGGCCTGGAAACAGAGATCGGCGGGGAGAGCGTCGTGTTTACCACGCACGTATTCCTCACCACCGTGCAGGCCTGAGCCACCGCAGCGCCTGTCCCTAGACAGGCCCCTGGGACAGACAGGCAGTGGTCTCAGGTGTAGACCCCTCTCCAGCCCCACCAGTGGGCTGCGCTGGGAAGTGCGGGGGAGACACACAAGGCTCTGGGGCACCTCAGGACGACATGTCAGATGGACCAGCCGGGCTCTGAGGGGGCCTGTGGGAGAGGACGACGCTGCCCAGCAGGGCGAGCTGACAAATATGGTGAGGGCCGTGAGAGCGAGGATGACCCACGCTGCACCACAGCTGAACCGCGAGGAGCGGAGTCAGTCACTGAGGACAGCAGTCCGCATGACTCCATCCAGAAGAAATGTCTGGAACAGGCAGCCCAACGGACAGAAAGGAGACCGTGGCTGCAGGGGCGGGGGGAAGGGTGGTGGGGAAAGGGCTTTTTGGGGTGATGGGATGTTCTGGAATTGATGTGGGGTGGCTGCACTGAACACCATGGCTGCACACTAACGTGGTGACCCAGCTGGGATGGGCGGTACACCTCAGTGAACACTGACTCCTGACCCCAGCTGCCCGGTACACAGGGGTGGGCTGTGGTGGAGCTGGGCCCTGCCTCATCCCCACACCCAGGTCTCATCTCCACAGAGCAGCTTGCCCTGTGACTCTGGGCCGCAACCCCCGGGCTCATCTCTGAAACGTACAGCTTCGTCTCCATGGCTGAGCAGCCCGTGGAGGAGCTCGGGCCCACCTGCAAGGTGTTCTTCCGCCTTCCATTCAGGTACAAGGGGAAGCTGACGAAGTTGCTGTACTTCGCTACCACATCTGGAAAGGACAAAACAAAAACCACACTGCATCTACAATGCTGGTGAAAATGCAAGCTTTGCAGCAGCTCTAGGGTGAGCGCCAGCCTGCTGGGAAGGGTCCTCCATGCTGTGCCCACTTCACAGGTACAGAAATGGGGCACACAGGGACACCTGTCCTCCCGCCAGTCTCACGGGGGCAGCAGCAGAGCCCAAGTGAGAACCAGATCTGTGGAGGCCCCGGTGGCTGCGAGACTGCAATGCCAGCTTGTGGCTGGAACATGGCTTTCTGGGCTGACTCCTGGAGGGTACTCAGGGCCTCCCTGAGCATCCAGCAGGACACATACAGGGAAGGCCCCACCCACATCCTGAGACAGGACTGCGCCAAATCCCCAGGTGCGCTAAAGGCCAGGCGCTACGCAGAGGAAGGAGAATGAGGCCTGCCTCAGCCAGGCCGGCTTCCTCCCAGTCCCAACACACGGAACCAGCAGGAGCTCAGTGCTACGCAGCCCTGGCGGGCAGCCCCTCCCAATCCTACAGCACCTCGGTCCTTCGTGGCTCTTCCTGTACACCCTTCATGCAGGCAGAACCCAGGAAAATGCCTGCTGACCTGGTGGCCTCCAGGCCACACATGGATCCCGGAGTGAGCCTGGGCCCAGGCTCCCGCTCACCTCGCACCCGGGCCTCGCTAGCAAACTCCCTGCAGTCGGATTTCAGGTGGATGATGATTTTTGTCCCGGTTCTAACTCCTGAAGCTTCAGCGATTTCAAACACTCCAGAGCTAAAGCAGGCAAGGAAAGGAAAAGCCAGGTGGGCACGACACTGGGACACACCCTGCATGGGACTCCAGCGGTTCCCTAGGGTTTCACAGGCAGAGCCCAAACCAACACATGACACACCTCAAATGCCCCATTTCTGACCCCAGGGCACCACTCAGGCCATCAAATCCCCATCAGGAACGATGACCCTGTGGCGGGCGGCAGAGTTCTGGTTCCCTTGGGTGGTGGGCCGGGGGTCCTCCACCTACCCTGGGCTTGGAAGAAGCTCCTGGGCTTACCCCGAAAACCCTGGGGCACTGTGGGAGCCTGGCCCAGCTCCAAATCAGCTGCCGGATGCCCAGGGGCCAAAACAAAGGCCAGGGGGCCAGGCGCCCCCTAAGAAGAACAGAAAACCATCTCAGAAGCACGGGAGCGTGGAATCCCCCGGCAGGGTCGTGTGGATGCCTTGACCCAAGTTTACTGTGAGCCCTGCTCTCATGGAATTAAACAGGAAAGTGAGTTTTGGGAGAGCGGGGAGTCCAGCTGAGCACACGGCACACACTGTGGAACAGAAATGGCATCATGGAGGGAGGACACCTCAGCTGGCTGGAAGCGGCTCACCTGCTAAAAAGCCCCCAGAGCTGGATGTGGAGGCTGAGGCAGGAGAACTGCTTGAACCCGGGAGGTGGAGGTTGCAGTGAGCCAAGATTGTGCCACTGCACACCAGCCTGGGCAACTAAACTCCGTCCCAAAAGAAAAAAAAAAAAAACCCCCAGCAGGCTCCTCACCCTACAGAGGCAGAGGTGGGCTGGGGAGGCAAAGCCAGAAAATGCCAGGGCTGGGAGGAAGCAGAATGAGCTCCTGCAGAAGGTCGGTCACAGGAGGCTGCAGAGGGGCCACCGGGCGAGAGGCCAGTCCTGCAGCCCAGCCACTGAGGAAGGAGCTCATTGTGGGCTGGGCCTGCCTTCCCAAGTGCAATGGTGGTGACCAACCACATGGGACCAGAGAGGCGCCATGGGCCACTTGGAGCCACAAAAGTCACTGACTCCCCAAAGTGGGAGAGTCAGATTTTACATAAAAAGCCCAGAAAATGCCTGTGTGCATTTTCTGGCCAGGTACGGTGGCTCACGCCTGTAATCCCAGCACTTTGGGAGGCCGAGGCAGGCGGATCACCTGAGGTCAGGGGTTCAAGACCAGCCTGACCAACATGGAGAAACCCCGTCTCTACTAATAATACAAAATTAGCCAGGCGTGGTGGCGCGTGCCTGTAATCCCAGCTACTCAGGAGGCTGAGGCAGGAACCCGGGAGGCGGAGCTTGCAGTGAGCAGAGATTGCGCCACTGCACTCCAGCCTGGGTAACAGAGCGAGACTCCATCTCAAAAAAAAAAAAAAAGCCCAGAAAATGCCTGTGTGCGTTTTCTGAGTCCAACCCTTTCCAAACTCCATGCTAAGGGCTCCAGCTCAGCTTTGAGCTGCCTGTCAGGCGACATTCGTCACTCACCCATCTGAAAGCCACCGGTAACCCGGGCTCCCCGGGGCTGCCGAGCGGGAATAGACTTCCACTCTGTCGGCCACCATGAAAGCTGAGTAGAAACCCACTCCAAACTGGCCGATGATCTTGCTGCTGGCCTCAGCCTGGTTCTGCAGCGTGTCCAGGAAGGCCTGTGGGGCAGAGGCCAGTTAGGGAGGCAGACTCCCCTCCAGAGAGGAGACACTCACGACACCGCAGCTGTTCTGCCAGTACCGCTAAGACCTCTTCATCCTTAAAACAGCCACACCGAGTACTTTTCCACCCCATTCTACACATGAAGAGCTAAGTCACAGAGAGGTGACACACTGGCCCTAGGACACCCAGCTGGCAGCAGTGGGACAAGTGTGTATTCCATTTGATTCCCAAAGCTTGTAGTCCTGCCTGTCCCAGACAGGGGGAGGCCTGCGGGTCACACCTGGAGTGGAGAAGGAGCAGCCTGAATAAGCTCCTTCCCTTGAATAAGCTCCTTCCATAGGAAGGCCAGGAGTGAGGAGAGCCTCCAAACTGGCTTCCAGATTCAACTCTCCTAGAGACTACACTTTGTGGGAAAAGAGTGGAAATCACGCACATGCGTCTGTAAGCACCGCACAGCACTCAAGTTTTCTACTATAACATTGCCAAAGATCCTAAGGCCAAAAATCGAGTAAAATGCACACACCCACTGCCCTGGCCCATGCTGTCTGATGGAACTTTCTCCGATGATGGGAACATTCTGCATCTGCCAGGTGCACTTGGACAGCCTGCCGAGCACCTGGAATGTGGCCTGTACAGCTGAGAAGCTCGATGCCCCCTTTTATTTAATTTTAATGCATTTACATTTAAACTGCCACATACAGCTGGTGGCCGCCACACAGGACAGCAGACCAACCTCGAGAGAAATACAACAAAAAACGTAACGTGGCGGGTAAAGTCAGTTATGGTAGTTTTTATTTATTTATTTTTTTTTGCGGGGGGGGGGGGTTTCGTTTTTGTTTTTGAGATGGAGTCTCACTCTGTTACCCAGGCTGGAGTGCAGTGGTGCGATCTCGGCTCACTGCAACCTCTGCCTCCCAGGTTCAAGTGATTCTGCTGCCTCAGCCTCCCAAGTAGCTGGGATTACAGGTGCACACCACCACGCCCAGCTAAATTTTGTATTTTAGTAGAGATGCAATTTCACCCTGTTGGTCAGGCTGGTCTCAAACTACTGACCTCAGGTGATCCTCCTGCTAGGCCTCCCAAAGTACTGGGATTACAGGCGTGAGCCGCCATGCTCGGCCCAGTTTTTTTTTTTTTTTTTTTTTTTTTAGATGGAGTTTCGCTCTTGTTGCCCAGGCTGGAGAGCAACGGCATGATCTCGGTTCACCACAACCTCTGCCTCCCAGGATCAAGTGGTTCTCCTGCCTCAGCTTCCTGAGTAGCTGAGATGACAGCTCCCACCATGCCCGTCTAATTTTTTGTATTTTTAGTAGAAACAGGTTTCACCACGTTAGCCAGACTGGTCTTGAACTCCTGACCTCATGATCCACCCAACTCGGCCTCCCAAAGTTCTAGGATTACAGGCATGAGCCAAAGCACCTGGGCAGGTAGTTTTTTTAAAGTAGAAATTTCTGGCTGAATGCAGCGGCTCAAGCCTGTAATCGTAGCATTCTGGGAGGCTGAGGCAGGAGGACTGCTTGAGGCCAGGAGTCTGAGACCAGCCTGGGCAACAAAGCAAGACCCCTGTCTCTACAAAAAAAATACAAAATTAGCTGGGTATAGTGGCACATGCCTGTAGACCCAGCTACTCAGGAGGCTGAGGTGGGAGGACTGCTTGAGCCCAGGAGTTCAAGGTTGCAGTGAGCTGTGATTGCACCACTGAACTCCGGACTAGGCAACAGAGTGAGACCCTGTCTCTGAATGAATAAGCGGATCAACGAATAAATGAATAAATAAATAAATGTAGAAATTTCAGGCCGGGCGCGGTGGCTCAAGCCTGTAATCCCAGCACTTTGGGAGGCCGGATCACGAGGTCAGGAGATCGAGACCATCCTGGCTAACAGGGTGAAACCCCGCCTCTACTAAAAAATACAAAAAACTAGCCGGGCGAAGTGGCGGGCGCCTGTGGTCCCAGCTACTCGGGAGGCTGAGGCAGGACAATGGCGTAAACCCGGGAGGCGGAGCTTGCAGTGAGCTGAGATCCAGCCACTGCACTCCAGCCTGGGCGACAGAGCCAGACTCAGTCTCAAAAAAAAAAAAAAGGAAATTTCTGTGATTTACTTTGGATCAACAATTGCTCTATTTTCAAGTAGTTGGTACCAAGTGCCACATAGGCGGCACTCAGGCTAATAACAACTAGGCAGAAAAGCACTCAGCCAGTAAGGAGGGCACCAGGGTGACCCAAGGCCACCCACCTTTGTCCTAGTTTGGCACAGACACTGTTGAGGAAACCCTGACCACCCACACCTGTCTTCCCTTTGCAGACTGCAGTCACACCAGCAGCCAAATGACACCCTAGACCTAAGGGCTGACTTGCCCCTACAAAGCAGTTTCCCTTTCCTTCCTTTCCCCCTTTCTCTCTTTCTTTTACAGAGTCAGGATCTTGCTCTGTCGCCCAGGCTGGATCACAGTGGTGCAATCATAGCTCACTGCAACCTTGAACTCCTGGGCCCAGGCGATCCTCCAGCCTCAGCCTCCTGAGTAGGTGTGACTTCAGGTGCATGTCACCACGCCCAGACCCACAGAGCGGTTCTGAGCAGAACCATCAAACCCACAGACATCGCATCCCAAGCCTGTTCTCATGCATGGCGCTGTGTGAGAGGAGACTGATCCCTCTGACCCTCTCTGCATCAAGCCCACGAGGCTCAGGGAATCGACTTTGCAGAAAAGTGTCGTGAGGCACAACAACACATCTGGACTCAGACCAACAGCCTGGGAAGCTCCAGCTCTCACCCTTTTCCAGCTATGGGCAAAGCCCTTACTTCAATCTCCTCATGTATAAAATGAGAACACTAGGTCGGGCGCGGTGGCTCACGCCTGTAACCCCAGCACTTTGGGAGGCCAACATGGGTGGATCACGAGATCAGGAGTTCAAGACCAGCCTGGCCAACATGGTGAAACCCTGTCTCTACTGAAGATACAAAAAATTGGGCAGGCATGGTGGCACGCCCCTGTAACCCCAGCTACTTGGGAGGCCAAGGCAGGAGAACTGCTTGAACTGGGAGGCAGAGGTTGCAGCGAGCCAATACAGTCGGTCCTTATCTCCAGGGTTCCACATTTGCAGATTCAACCAGCCAAGGATCGAAAATACTCAGAAAAAAATAAAAAACAACACAATGATAAAAAGTAGTATAAAAAACATAACTATGTTATATCTATATATAGCATTTACGTTGTATCAGGTATTATAAGTAATCTAGAGATCATTTAAAGCATACAGAAAGACATGTCTACAAAATACGGCACCACTTTAATCCAAGACTGGAGCATCTGCAGATTGTGGTATGCAAGGGGGATCCTGGATCCAACCCCAACCCCCAGATACTGAGGGATGGCTGTCATGTCATGAGGTGTTCCCACAATGCCCGCTGCGTGGCATGCAACAATGTTGTTACTCTATCTGGCACCCAGGGCCACCCCTACTGGAGGGATCCTTGCACCCTGAGGGGAAGGGGGAGGCCGTGTGGGGGGCCCACGCTTACCTTTGACCCCGATCTGGCGATAGTCCCCAGGTTGGACACCAGCTCTTCCTGTGTCATCCCAATACCAGTATCCTGAGGAGAGAGACACGCTAAGCGCCAAGCCCCCAGCACCTGGGGAGCAGGTGCACGAGCAGCCCCAGGGGCTCAAATGGTATCAATGACATTGGCCAGACAGGGCCCAGCCAGGTAGCACCAGATGCTCATCAGAAAAGACTAATTCTAGGGGCCAAGCACAGTGGCTCATGCCTGTAATCCCAGCATTTGGGAGGCCAAGGCAAGCGGATCACTTGAGGACAGGAGTTCAAGATCAGCCTAGCCAACATGGTAAAACCCCATCTCTACTAAAAACAAAAACAATTAGTCAGGCATGATGGCGAGCGCCTGTGGTCCCAGCTGCTCAGAGACTGAGGCAGGAGAATCACTTGAACCCAGTGAACCCAGGAGGCAGAGACTGCAGTGAACGGAGATTGTGCCACTGCACTCCAGCCTGGGTGACAAAACGAGACTCCGTCTCAAAAAAACAAAAAAAGAAAAGTAAAGAAAAACAGAAAAGACTAATTCTAGCCCTAGCAGCCCGGCCTCACCAGAGAAAACAGGAAGGGACAGCAGAAAGTTGCTTTGTTTGTTAAAAACCATCCTGAAAAGAAAACATGATGCCAGCAATTAGGAGGAAAGCACAGCTCTCCCGTCATGAAGATGTGACCCCCCGCCTTCTCCCTGGCTGTGGTTCCGGGGAACAGTGGTCCCCTCCTCTGGTGGCTCTCTCAATCCAGCAGAATGATCTGATTGAGGAGATCGCGCAGCCCTGCGCGCGGCCCCCGCACCCACCCTACCACCATGGGAAGAGCGGGCACGGATGCCTTTCCTGCGGGAAGGCGCAGCCCTCGCGTGGGAGCCTCAATCTGGCTTATCCTGTTGCAGCTGCTCTGGTCTGAGCGCTGATGTCACCCAAATCCATATGTTAAGACCTAACTCCCAAGGGATGGCCCTGGGATTGGGGCCTTGGGGAGGTGATCAAGTCATGAGTGCTCCACTCTCATGAATGGAAGGAGGGCCCTCAGAAAACAGGGTTGAGGGACCTTGTCTGTCCCTTCCGCCTTCTGTGTGAAGATGCAAGAGGCACTGCCTGAGACAAAGGGCCCTCGCTAGACACCCAGTCTGCTGGCCCCTTGCTCTTGGACCTCCCAGCCTCTACAACTGTGAGCAATACGGTTCTGTTGTTTATAAATTGCCCAGTCTAAGGTATTCTGCTATAGCAGCCTGAATCACAACACAGACCAATGCGCCGGTGAACACACAAGGCCTTACTGACCATGGCCTCCTCCTTCCTCAAAGCCCGGTCAGACGCCTGGAGTTCCTTGCTCAACATGCCCATAACACAGCCACAGCCCCAGCTTGCTCTGCTACGATGTGCAGACCACCTTAAAAAAAAGAGCTCGCTCCAAGCCTCCACATCTATGAATTGGGACAAAGGCCCTCAGAAGCAGTTTTCTGAACTTCCTTCTAGGAAGTTCCTTTCTAAAGGCTTCCTCTCCAGGACAGCCCGCAGGGGCCATGGGAGCCCACTAGCACCGGGCAGCAGTGCTGTCTCCATTGGCACAGCGGGGGTGGTCAGTGCTACTCAGCAAATAATCCACAGCAAGCAGCAGGCCGGGGAGACTGGCCAGCTGTCAGCCTTCCCATTGTAGGCAGCACAGGCAGAATGGGTGCCAAAACCACATCACCACCGGTTACTCCAGTGCACACATGTGTGCATGTTCCATGGGCCCCAGCAGCCAACAAGAAACATGGCACCAAGAGGCTTCTGGGCAATTATTTCTGAGGTGCTGGTATGAAGAGTCCAAAATCCAGCCTGATTCATTTATTGTAGATCATGTTATAATTATGAATAAAAAACTACTTAAAATTAATATCTAGTTGACATCAGTTATTAAACATAATCTTCATTTAAGTGTTTACTTTAATACATCAGAAACTTAAATAGAGTCCCTTAAGGGAAAGGTTAATGTTAGACCAAGGTAAAGGAGAAAATGCAACTAATAGCTCCTATTTCAATTTATTTTTATTTTTTCCCAAACTGATCTGCACTGCAATCCCAATCTAAATCCTTACCGGTTTTGTAGAAAATGACAAGCTGATTCTAAAATGTATATTTTAGAAATACAAAGAACCTAGAATATTTTCAAAATATTTTGAAGAACAAAGTTGGACAATTTAAAATACTTAATTTTAAGACTTCCTATAAAGCTACAATAATTAAGACAGTGTGATGTGGGCATTTAAGGATCAACACATAGATCAAAGAACCAAACAGAGCACAGGAACAGCACTGCACAGAGAGTGTATTACTTGATTTTTGACAAAGATTCCACAGTAATTCAATGGGGGATGATAGATCTATTAACAGACAGTACTGCAACAACTGTACACTCATAAACAAAACATAAACCTCAACCCCTACCTCACACCATACACGCAAATTAACTTGAAATGGATCAAAGATCTAAATGTAAGAGCTAAAGCTATGAAACTGCTAGAAGAAAATAGATGTAACACAACAGGTCACATCTATTATCCTAGCACTGTGGAAGGTCAAGGTGGGAAAATCACTTGAGCCCAGGTATTTGAGACCAGCCTGGCCCACAAAGCAAGACCCTGTCCCTACAAAAAAAAAAAATTTCTTGCTCTGTCATGCAGGCTGGAGTGCTGGAGTTCAGTGGTATGATCTCCGCTCACTGCAACTTCTGCCTCCCAAGTTCAAGCAATTCTCCTGCCTCAGCCTCCCCAGTAGCTGGGACTACAGGCACACGCTGCCATGCCCAGCTAATTTCTTCTGTATTTTTAGCAGAGATCATGTTGCCCAGGCTGGTCTCGAACTCATAAGCTCAGGCAATCTACCCGCCATGGCCTCCCAAAGTGCTAGGATTAGAGGCTTGGGCCACCACACCCGGCTAAAAAAATATTTTTTTTTTTTTTTTTTTGAGACGGAGTCTTGCTGTGTCACCCAGGCTGGAGTGCAGTGGCCGGATCTCAGCTCACTGCAAGCTCCGCCTCCCGGGTTCACGCCATTCTCCGGCCTCAGCCTCCCGAGTAGCTGGGACTACAGGCGCCCGCCACCTCGCCCGGCTATTTTTTTGTATTTTTTAGTAGAGACGGGGTTTCACCGTGTTAGCCGGGATCGTCTCTCGATCTCCTGACCTCGTGATCCGCCCGTCTCGGCCTCCCAAAGTGCTGGGATTACAGGCTTGAGCCACCGCGCCCAGCCTAAAAAATATTTTTTTAAAGTTAGCTGGGCATGGTGGCATGTGCCTGTGGCCCTAGCTACAGGAGGCTGAGGTGGAACATCACTTGAGCCCAGGAGGTCAAGGCTGCAGCGAACCCTGATAGCACCACTGCACCCCAACCTGGAGACAGAGGAAGATCCTGACTCTAAACAAACCAAAAACCTTCTAGGTCAGGCTGGGCATGGTGGCTCATGCCTATAATCCCAGCACTTTGGGAGGCCAAGACAGGCAGATCACCCAAGGCCGGGAGTTTAAGACCAGTCTGACCAACATGGAGAAACCCCGTCTCTACTAAAAATACAAAATTAGCCAGGCATGGTGGTGCATGCCTGTAATCCCAGCTACTCGAGAGGCTGAAGGCAAGAGAATTGCTTGAACCCGGGAGGCGGAGGTTGCAGCGAGCTGAGATCACGCCATTGCACTCTTGCCTGGGCAACAAGAGCAAAACCCCGTCCCCCCTCCAAAAAAACCAAACAAAAAAAATCCTCCAGGTCATCAAAAACAAGGAAAGTCTGAGAAACTGTCACAGCCAAGAGGAGCCTAAGGGGACAGGACAACTAAACATCATGTGGGATGCTGGGAGAGAAAAAGGACATGAGGTAAAAACTAAGGAAATCTGAACAGATTTGCATTAAGAATAATATATCCATACCGGTTGATTAACTGTAACCAATCTAATATACTAAGATTTTTTTTTTTTTTTTTCTTGGAGAGACGAGGTTCACTCTTGTTGCCTAGGCTAGAGTGCAATGGCACTATCTCAGCTCACCAAAACCTCCACCTCCGAGGTTCAAGCGATTGTCCTGCCTCAGCCTCCTGAGCAGCTGGGATTACAGGTGCGCACCACCACACCCGGCTAATTTTTGTATTTTTAGTAGAGACAGGGTTTCACCATGTTGGCCAGGCTAGTCTTGAACTCCCGACCTCAGGTGATCTGCCTGCCCTGGCCTCTCAAAGCACTGGGATTACAGGCGTGAGCCGCCGCGCCCGGCCATAAGATTTCAATCATAAGGGAGGCTGGTGTTGGAGTAGATGGCAATGCTGTACAATCTTTAAAATTTTTCTGAAAATTTAAATCTGTTCTAAAATATTTACTAAAAAAAAAAAAAAAAAAAAATACAGATTTTTCAGATGCAGACAGAAATCATCTGTTGCCAGGCGACCCACACGATGTGATTTTAAAAGGAAATGGTGAGACCAGGGGCAGTGGCTCATGCCTGTAATCCCAGCACTTTGAGAGGCCAAGATAGGCGGACCACTTGAGGTCAGGAGTTCGAGACCAGCATGACCAGCATGGTGAAACCCCATTTCTACTAAAAATGCAAAAATTAGCCAGGTATGGTGGCATGTACCTGTAAACCCAGCTACTTGGGAGGCTAAGGTGGGAAAATCACTTGAACCCGGGAGGCTGAGGCTGCAGTGAGGTGAGATCATACCACTGCACTCCAGTCTGGGCAATAAAGTGAGACTCTGTCTCAAAAAACTAAAAATAAAAAGGAATTTGTTGGCCGGGCGCGGTGGCTCAAGCCTGTAATCCCAGCACTTTGGGAGGCCGAGGCGGGCGGATCACAAGGTCAGGAGATCGAGACCACAGTGAAACCCCGTCTCTACTAAAAATGCAAAAAATTAGCCGGGCGCGGTGGCGGGCGCCTGTAGTCCCAGCCACTCAGGAGGCTGAGGCAGGAGAATGGCGGGAACCCGGGAGGCGGAGCTTGCAGTGAGCCGAGATCGCGCCACTGCACTCCAGCCTGGGCAACAGCGTGAGACTCCGTCTCAAAAAAAAAAAAAAAAAAAAAAAAAAAAAGGAATTTGTGAGGGCTTACAACAGGTATATACATAAAATATTTGACATCAAAAGAAAAAGATGATTCTGCCATTGGAAAGATACTGTTGTAAGATTCTTACATTGAAGTGTTAAATATTAATTCAAGCTAGACAGTGATAAATTAAGGCTTCATATTTTATTCCCTAAAAAATCCCCTAAAAATAACAAAAGGCAAATGTAGCTATCAGTAGAAGAGACAGAATGGCATAATATCTCTGAGACTCCACAAGAACCCTTCATTTTCTAAAACCTTAGGTAAGAATAACATATCGATATTACTTAATTAATTGTAATAAATGGGCCAGGTATGGTGGCTCATTCCTGTAATCTAACACTTGGGAGGCCAAGTCGGGCAGATCACTTGAGGGCAGGAGTTCACCCAGCCTGGCCAACATGGTGAAACCCCATCTCTACTAAAAATACAAAAATTAGTTGGGCATCGTGGCACACGTCTGTAATCCCAGCTACTCAGGAGGCTGAGGCACGAGAGTTGCTTGAACCCGGGAGGCAGAGGTTGCAGTGAACTGAGATCACACCACTGCACTCCAGCCTGGGCGACACAGCAACACTCTGTCTCCAAAAATCAATCAATCAATCAATCAATCAATAAATGGACCATGCTCACATCAGGTGTTGAGAATAGAAAAACTGGGTGCCAAAGGATATAATGGAACTCTGAATTATCTGCTCAAATTTTCTGTAAATCTAGAACTGTTCTTTAAGAAAAAAGAAGACAAAAGATAAAACCAAAAATCATTCTTGTAACATAAATAGTCTTGGTACCAGGAAGTACTGGCACATAGGACAGGGCCCTCTGCTGAAGACCACGAATCACATCCCCATGACCCCTCGCCCCAACACATCCATTTTCAATCACCTGCAAGGAACCTCTGTGCTGAAAACAGGAGGGAAGTGCAGGGCGCCCCAGCAGCACATCCCAGCCCTGTGCCCTAGCCCTGCCCACAGGGCCCATTCCACAGCCACGTCAGCTCGACGAAGGCAGGGAGAGAAGAAATCACTCCCCACCCAATCCTTATGACCAAGGGCTATGACAAACAGCTGGCACATACCACAGGGCTCAGTCTGGATTCTCTAAACCCAAGAGGGAGTACATAAAGCCGACACCTCACAAAAGCCCCTCTTTCAATTAAAACAGCTGTCCCTTCACAAGTCTATTCACTCACACATGCCTGCATTCATTCATCTGACAAGGCCTTCAGAGCAAGCCAGCACCCTAAAAGGGGATACTCAGAACCCACCGAGGCCTGTCTGTCCACCTCTCCACAGAGATAGACACCCCCGCCATGATGCCGTGACCCTGGGACGACAGGTCCTAAGGCAGCTGTCTTGGGATGCAATGTCTCTCAGGGCCCCCACCTGACCCTCTTTGGCCTAACTTTTCAGCCTTAAAATTTCCACAAGGCTAGAGCAGCAGCCACAGCACTGCTTCATCTGCATTTTGAGGGGAAAACACAGTTAAAAATATGAAAAGAGTACATTAAAAATAAGATATGTTTAGATATGTTAATAACTGCATACACCAGAACCCTGTGTGGCCATATGCTAAAATGTTACCAGTAGTTGTCGCTGGATGGGGTGATTTCGAATTTTCTTCTTTTCTGCTTATACCTGCTTTTCCAAAATTTTCTATAATGAATGAGTGCTACTTTAACAATAAATTCTAGCCAGAGTTATCCTGGTGGTACGGACGGCTAGTACATCCCTGGGACCCCAGAGACATCACTAGAAGGCAGATGCTGTCCCTGCTGCATGGCCGGGCCCACCACATGCCTGGACACTGAGGGAGGTACCTGGATGGTGATGGTTCCTTTCTCGGCATCAGTCTGCAAGTGAATCTCCATTTCTGGCAGTGCTTGGCCGTCAGACACCAGTTTGTGACGCAGTTTTTCCAAGGCATCGCTGGCATTGGAGATCAGCTCCCGTATAAACACCTACAGGAATAGAAACGGGAGGCACAGACAATGAAGGACACTCATCCTGCAGGATCTATCTGGTCAGCTGCACTTCCAATAACTGTTAAAAGGTAGAGGAGAACAATCATAGAATATTCAGTTCTCAAAGCATAAAGAGTTTCTGCTTTAGTCAAAGGTAGTTCCTCTGCGCCGGTCACAAAGTGACTAAAGGTGCTAACTTCTACTGATCTTTCCTTCAGGATTTGTTTAGACAGTCTCACTCTGTCACCCAGGCTGGAGGCTGCAATCACGGCTTATTGCAGCCTCAACCTCCTGGACCTAAGCAATCCTCCCACCCCATCCTCCTAAGTAGCTGGGACCACAGGCATGCACCACCACAACCAGCTAATTGTTTTAAAATGTGTATAGACACAGGGTCTTGTTATGTTGCCCAGGCTGGTCTTGATCTCCTAGGCTCAAGTGATCCTTGTGCCTCGGCCTCCCAAAGTGTTGGGATTTCAGGCGTGAGCCACGGTGCCTGGCCCTCTTCAGGATTTTTAATCAAGCCTGAAATTATGTGTCCACCTGTTAATTAAAACTTTAAGAAGAGCCGTCTGGCTGGGTGCGGTGGCTCACACTTGTAATCCCGGCACTTTGGGAGGCTGAAGTGGGCGGATCACTTCAGGTCAGGAGCTCAAGACCAGCGTGGCCAACATGGTAAAACCCTGTATCTACTAAAAATATAAAAATTAGCTGGGAGTGATGGAACACGCCTGTAATCCCAGCTACTCAGGAGGCTGAGGCAGGAGAATCGCTTGAACCCATTAGGCAGAGGTTGCAGTGAGCCAAGATAGCACCACTGCATTCTAGCTTGGGCGACAGAGAGACTCTGTCTCAAAAAAAACAAACAAAAGAGCCCTGCGAGGAACAATTTCTTTCCTAACTCCTGCACAAGTATGACAGTAAATCACTCAAACATCCATTTCTCCTTGATATGGTCTGGCTGTGTCCCCACCCAAATCGCACCTTGAATTGTACTCCCATAATTCCCACATGCTGTGGGAAGGATTCGGTGGGAGATAAGTGAATCATGGGAGCCGTTTCCCCGGTACTGTTCTTGTGGTAGTGAGTAAGTCTCACGAGAGCTGACAGTTTTATTTGGGGTTTCTGCTTTGCGTCTTGCTCACTCTCTCTTTGCCTGCTGCCATCCATGTAAGACGGGACTCGCTCCTCCTTGCCTTCCACCATGACTGTGAGGCTTCCCCAGCCACATGGAGGTGTAAGTCCAATTAAACCTCCTTCTTTCATAAATTGCCCAGTCTCAGGCACGCCTTCATCAGCAGTGTGGAAACAGACGAATACACTACTACTCCACAAAAACACACCCCGAGAAACATGGGACGCAGGGCCCAGCTGTCCCTCAGGAGCTGAAAAGCACCCTGACCTCAAACAGACCTTCCATTTGAGTCAGTGAAAGACGCCAGGGGCGGTCTCACACCTGTGATCTCCGCACTGTGGGAGGCTGAAGCAGGCGGATTACTTCAGCCCAGGAGTTCAAGACTAGCCTGGGCAACACGGCAAAACCCCGTCTCTACAAAAAATACAAATATCAGTCAGGCAGGGTGGTGCGCCTGTAGTCCTAGCTACTTGGGAGGCTGAGGAGGAAGGATGGCTTGAGCCCAGGAGGCGAAGGATGCAGTGAGCCGAGATCATACCACTGCGCTCCAACCTGGGCATCAGAGCCAGACCCTTTTCCAAAAAAATAAAAAACAAAACAAATAAAAATAGAAAAAATAAGTCCGCAAGAGCTCAGGAAGCAGCGGCTGATCTGAGCGGAAGCTGGAGGTCGCTGGGAGGCAGGAACGCAGCACTCGTTAGTACAAAACCTGGAAACAGCTCCTGGAAGCCCCTCTGAGCTTCGAAATTTGGTGCTTTACCTTTCTTCCAGATTCTCCTTTGCCTTCCAGCAATAATCAGCATGTCAACGATGGTGGCCTTCATTTTTCTTTTTCCTTGTCCTGTCACCCAAATGAGTTTTGTGGGTTTTTTTTTTTAATAGAGACGGGGTCTGACCACATTGCCTAGGCTGGTCTCAAACTCCTGGACTCATGCAATCCTCCTACCTTGGCCTCCTAAAGTACTAGGATTACAGGTGTGAGCCACCGCACCCGGAGCCAGATGCGTTTTAATTTCCTCAGTAACTCCTCCCTGCTCCACACACACAGGACTGGGGAATCTTCTTCCTCTGGCAGCCAAAGCCCCCGAGACCTGCAGGTAGTCACACTGGGCAAAGCGGCCTCAGAGCACACCCAAAGCTCCACAGAAATGGGTTTCAGCAGAGCTGCATGCTAGGATTTGGGGGACTCTTTTCTTTTCTGGAGAGAGGGTCTCACTCTGTCGTGCAGGTCAGTGTAGTAACACGATCATGGCTCACTGCAACCCCAGAGTCTGCCAGGCTCCAGTCATCCTCCCACCCCAGCCTCCTGAGTAGCTGAGACCACAGGTCAGTGCCCCTACAGCTGACTAATTTTTTAAATTTTTTGTAGAGAAGGAGTCTTGCTGTATTGCCCAGGCTGGTCTCAAACTCCTGGGCTCAAATGATCCTCCCGCTTCAGCCTCCCAAAGCACTGAGTTCCCAGGCGTGAGCCACTGCACCAGGCCTGTATTTGGGGAACTTTTAACATTATTGGCAAAATTCAATTAATTCCCAGAGTTGATCCAGCCCAAAGAACCATCTGGATACACTTACTCACAAAACCAAAACAGATTCTGGTAAAACTCCTCTCACTAGTAGCTTAAGATGGGGACCTGTCCAAAGTTTAATGCTTTCTCACAGCTAATATATTATCTGGCAATTCTCCAGAATGGCAAAAAAACAGCTTTGTGAAAAGAAACTTTGCTAGCATCGGACAGGTTAGCAGGGAACGCACCTCTTTTTCTGAGTACAGGGACCGGGCAACGACGTCCAAAAGTTTCTTTGTCTCAGCCTGGAACTCATGTTTGGAAATAGAACCTAGTAATGAAACACAGACACAACCAATAAAGTTTAGTTTCTATTTTTGTGCAAGAATATGCTACGTCACATTCCAAAGAATGTTTAAGTTTATGAGTTTTAAACATTTTTTTCTTTTTTGAGATGGAGTCTCGCTCTGTCACCCAGGCTCGAGTGCAGTGGTGTGATCTCGGCTCACTGTAAGCTCCGCCTCCCGGGTTCACGCCACTCTCCTGCCTCAGCCTCCCGGGTAGCTGGGACTACAGGCACCTGCCACCATGCCTGGCTAATTTTTTGTATTTTTAGTAGAGACGGGGTTTCACCGTGTTAGCCAGGATGGTCTCGATGTCCAGACCTCGGGATCTGCCCGCCTCAGCCTCCCAAACATTTAAGATCGTGAACAAAAAGAAAGAAGTAGACAGAAACAAAGTCTGGCTGGGTGCCATGGCTCATGCTTGTAATCCCAGCACTTTGGGAGGCCAAGGCAGGAGAATCACTTGAGCCTAGGAGTTCAAGACCAGCCTAGGCAACAGAGGAGGACCCTGCCATCTCTACAAAAACTACACAAAGTAGCCGAGCATGGTGGCGCACACTTACGGTCCCAGTCTCACGGGCCTGACGTGGGAGGATCACTTGAGCCAGGGAGGTCGAGGCTGCAGTGAGCCATGACTGCACCACGGCACTCAGCCCGGGCAACAGAGAAAGACCCTGTCTCAAAACAAAATGAAACAAAGTCTCTCAGAAAGGAGGTCTCAGGGCAGGACAAATCAGGCTCCCATCTGCACAGAAAGAACACAGGGAAAACAATCCTCCCACCGCTGAGGCCAGATAGGCCTCGGGCTACGTCGAGGGACTGCTCAGCCTGGTCTCCCGATGTGCACAGTCACGAGAACTGGGCTGCCTCTAAGAACCAGATTATATGTTCTTTCCTTTTCTTTTTTTTTTTAGAGGCAGGATCTGGCTCTGTTGCCCAGGCTGCTATGCAGAGGAATGATCATGCTCACTGCAGCCTCAACTTCCTGGGCTCAACTGATTCTCCTGCCTCAGCCTCTCAAGTAGGTAGAACCACTGGTGTGTGCTACCATGCCTGGCTAACTTTTTAATTTTTCTTGTAAAGAAAGGGTCTATGTGGCCCAGGTTGGTCTCGACCTCTTGGCCTCAAGCAATCCTCCTGTCTTGGCCTCCCAAAGTGCTGGGATTACAAGTATGAGCCACTGCGCCCAGCCTACATTCTTCAAATAAGCGGTTTCCAAATTAATTATTTAGAAATCAAAATAAGAAAACCTCACTTCTCTTTTTAACTTCAAAGATTCTACTCTTGTCGACCCACTTAAAAGCCAGAAATGGACCCACTTCAGGACTGGCTCCAAAGACCGCTTTTTTATACTTCAGAGGGAATGAAAAGTCAGCTCCGGAATTCGGTCCTGCGCAAGCTGAGCCAATGCTGAGTTTCCCCTCCCGCTTCCATGATTATTAGCAGATGTGCCATGAATCACCACTCAGGGGAGGTGCTGGACGGCAAACTCACCGGTGGCCACCAGAGGGGGCAAGACACACCCGACACTGGCAGAAGTCCCTCGCTGGGACAGAAATGGAGGGCGCAGCACTCCCTACAGCCAAACCTTCTGATTTCAGACCTGAGGCGGTGGCTCTGCCAATCACTGCCTCCACCCTGAAAATGCCCCTTTATGCACAACAGTGAACCGAGAAGCCCTCCCAGACCACAGCGCGAGCCCAGGCTACCCTGCACGCTCTCCGTGCTGCTGATGATCGAGTGCAGGGGCTCCTCCTTGTCCTCAGCAGTCTGCGTGCTCAACAGCCGTCCTGCCTGGAAGCTCCAGGCCGGGTTTCGCCTGGGGCCCAACTGGGCTGTGGTCCTCCGAGGACACAGAATTGGTTTTCCTGAAAAGACAAATATGCAGAAAGAACGAGAATTAGGAAGACACGAGAAACAATATGGTAATTTGTCCCATCAAGGGTGTCTAGCAAAAGCCAGTGTGGACACCTCTAAGTCGGGTTGTTGCTGAAAGAGAAATCCCCAGGACCAAACGCCACAGAGTCACGGTGTGGTTTCGGCAAGGAGCCCTCACACACGTCGTCAGCTTAAGATATGGGGTCTGCTCAGAACCGCCGAAGCGAAACTGGAGCGGGTGGGCTGCTGCCTTCTTTTGAGAGCGGGTCTCGCTCTGTCACTGCAATCACGGCTCATTGCTGCCTCGACCTCCCGGGCTCAAGCGATGCTCCTGCCTCCGCCTCACGAGTAGCTGGGACCACAGGCATAGACCACCACGCCCCCATAATTTTTAAAAAGTTTTTTGTAGAAATGGGGTTTTGCTATGTTGCCAAGACTGGTCTCGAACTCCCGGGCTCAAACGATCCTCCTGCCTTGGTCTTACAAAGAGTTGGGATGACAGGCATGAGTCACCGCGCCCAGCTGGCAGGTGCCTGCTGACAGCACTTCCCACTTTCACCTCACAGGTGAGATTTTCCATCAACCCGCAAACTCAAACCTGCCTCGACCCTCGCAGCCCCCGCAGAACCCCCCAAACTCAAACCTGTCTCGATCCTCGCAGCCGCTGCAGAACCCACAAACTCAAACCTGCCTCGATCCTCACAGGCCCTGCAGAAGCCCCCGATGGGCCACACTTCCTTGCTCTTAACAGTCAAGAAAAAAAAAATGGTCCTGAAAGGAATCCAAATATTTAAATGTTAATATTCTCAAACTGTCTCATCATGTTCTAAAAGTTGATTCTTTTCCATGACTTTTTCATCCAAAACGGATTTTTTTTTTTTTTTGAAACGGAGTCTCGCTTTGTTGTCCAGGCTGGAGTCCAGTGGCATGATCTTGGCTCACAGCAAGCTCTGCTTCCTGGGTTCACGCCATTCTCCTGCCTCAGCCTCCCGAGTAGCTGGGACTACAGGCACCCGCCACTGCGCCCGGCTAATTTTTTTGTATTTTTTAGTAGAGATGGGGTTTCACCGTGTTAGCCAGGATGGTCTCAACCTCCTGACCTCGTGATCCGCCAGCCTCGGCCTCCCAAAGTGCTGGGATTACAGGCGTGAGCCACCGCGCCCGGCCCAAAACAGACTTTTTAAAAAAAATTAGTGTACTTTAAAAACTGAAAAACAGCTGACGATGGGTTCTACCTTGTAACTAGGAAGGAGACTTGTCTTCTGTAACTTCCTGATCAGCCCAGTGGGCTGAGAAAGTCGCCTGCAGAGTCCAGCGAGGGAGGAAAGCAGCCAGTGTGTCCCCAGCCGCACGCAGTACACCGACACAGGCCCAGCCTTTGATGCTACAGAAACCACAGACACTTTCACTCCAACACAGGACAGGACCAACCCAACACCATCACCCACTGACCCCAGGACCACACACCAGGATCCTGCCTTGGTCAGCAGATTTGCAATACACGGTGGCATCAAGGATACGTGGCCAGCCAGCTACACCATGTGAAAGTCTAGGCCTAAATGAACCACATCTAACTGGGAGCCTCTCCTGTTCTTCACAAATTTGTAACGAGTATAAAAGATGGACGCAGAATATCCAGGAATCAAGGTTTTAAAAATTAACATATCAGCCAGGGGTGAGGTGGCTCACGTCTGTAATCCCAGCACTTTGGGAGGCCGAGGTAGGCAGATCACCTGAGGTCAAGAGTTCAAGACCAGCCTGGCCAACATGGAGAAACCCCGTCTGTACTAAAAATACAAAAGTTAGCCGAGCGCAGTGGTGTGCACCTGTAATCCCAGCTACTCGGGAGGCTGAGGCAGGGGAATGGCTTGAACCCGGGAAGCGGAGGTTGCAGTGAGCCAAGACTGCACCACTGCACTTCAGGCTGAGTGACAGAGCACTTGTCTGTCTCAAAAAAAAAAAAAATTAACATATCAACTTTCATACTCCTAAAAGGTACACAAACTTGCCTATTTTTTTTTTTTGAGACCAAGTCTCGCTCTTGTTGCCCAGGCTGCAGTGCAGTGGTGCGATCTCGGCTCATTGCAACCTCCACCTCCCAGGTTCAAACAATTCTCCTGCCTCAGCCTCCCGAGTAGCTGGGTTTACAGGCACCCGTCACCACACCCAGCTATTTTTTGTATTTTTAGTAGAGACAGGGTTTCACCATGTTGGCCAGGCTGGTCTCAAACTCCTGACCTCAGGCAATCTGCCTGCCTCCGCCTCCCAAAGTGCTGGGATTACAGGCATGAGCCACCGTGCCCAGTCAAAACTTGCCTATTCTTTAGGTTTATTCCTGGACTTACAAACAGCACAAACCTAGCCTTTTGTTTTCGTTTCTTTGAGATGGAGTCTCGTTCTGTCACCCAGGCTGCAGTGCAGTGATCTCGGCTCACTGCAACCTCCATCTCCCAGGTTCAAGTAATTCTCCTGTCTCAGCCTCCCAAGTAGCTGGGACTACAGGTGCCTGCCACCACGCCTGACTAATTTTTGTATTTTCAGTAGAGACGAGGTTTCACCTTATTGGCCAGGCTGGTCTTGAACTACTGACCTCAGGTGATCCGCCCACCTAGGCCTCCCAAAGTGCTGGGATTACAGGTGTGAGCCACCACACCCAGCCAACCCTAGCCTTTATCTCCATGCAGACACCTTAAAAACATCGACCGCAATTCAGAAAATATTCAGTTTCCAAACCATGTAAATATCCAATTATTTGGGTCTACGTAATTGTTCACTTTATTCATACAGCTAAAAAGAAAAAAGAAATCCCGGGACATTTCTTGTGGAATTAAATGGTATTTGGTGTTAGAGGAGTTCGTGAATAGTCTACACTGAACCAGGGCGCTGAAGCCTCTGCCTCCACCCAGAGCAGAGCCAGCCTTGGGAACACAGGAGGGAAGCGCCCAAGCGCCACCCACCCACCCGCAGAGCGTATTCATGTTTCTGATCATTTGTGTAAAAGAAACACAAAAAGGATAAACCAGAAACTGATGTGACTGTGTATTTTGTTTCCTAGGGCTACTGAAACACAGCACCACAAACCATGCAGTTTCAAAAAGGTCCACAGTTCTGCGTCAGGCATGGTGGCTCACACCTATAATCCCAGCACTTTGGGAGGCCGAGGCAGGTGGATCATGAGGTCAGGAGATCAGGACCATCCCAGCTCACACAGTGAAACCCCGTCTCTACTAAAAATATAAAAATTAGCCAGGCGTGATGGCGGGCGCCTGTAGTCCCAGCTACTCGGGAGGCTGAGGCAGGAGAATGGCGTGAACCCGGGAGGCGGAGCTTGCAGTGAGCTGAGATCGCGCCACTGCACTCCAGCCTGTGGGACAGAGCGAGACTCCGTCTTATAAAAAAATAAAAAAACACAAAAACTAGCCAGGTGTAGTGGTGTGCACCTGTAGTCCTAGCTACTTGGGAGGCTGAGGTAGGAGGATCGCTTGAGCCCAGGATGTTGAGGCGGTAGCGAGCCAAGATCACACTATTGCACTTCCGCACTTCAGCCTGGGTGAGACAGTGAGACCCTGTCTCAGAAAAAAAAAAGATCCCGGGTTCTGGGTAGGGGTGGTGCCCACGGGAGGTGCTGACGGAGAGTCCATCCCGCACCTCTCCCCAGCTTCTGGCAGCAGCTGGCATCCTTGGTGTTTCATGGTTTGCACATGCTCCAGGCTCTGCCTCTTGTAACATGGCAAGTTCTTCTCTATGTGGAGTCCTGGCTGTGTCCAAATTTCCCTCTTCTTATATGGATACCAGGAATACTGGAGTTAAGCCCCATCCCCATGCAGTGTGACCTCATCACAACCTGATACACCTGAAATGACCCAAATAAGCTCACACTCACAGGTACCAGGGGTCAGGACGCAAACATATCTTTTTTTTTTTTTTTTTTTGAGACAGTCTCACTCTGTCATCCAGGCTGGAGTACAGTGGCCTGATCTCAGCTTACTGCAACCTCCGCCTCCTGGGTTCAGGCGATTCTCCTGCCTCAGCCTCCCGAGTAGCTGGATTACAGGCACGCACCACCACGCCCAGCTTTTTGTATTTTTAGAAGAGACGTGGTTTCACCATGTTGGCCAGGCTGGTCTCCAACTCGTGACCTCAAGTGATCCACCCACTTTGGCCTCCCAAAGTGCTGGGATTACAGGCATGAGCCACCATACCTGGCCTCTTTTTTTAAAAAAAATAAAAATAGAGACAAAGTCTCTCTCTGTTGTCCAGCCTGGTCTTGAACTTCTGAACTCAAGCAATCCTCCCACTTTGGCCTCTCAAAGCACTGGGATGACAGGTATAAGCCACTGTGCCCGGCCTTCGAACCCCACAGCTCGGTTACCTACAGGAGGTGTGTATGAAGCTCCCCGTGGCACACACCCGGTAGCTTAAAGTAACAGACACTGATTCTCCCACAGTCCTGGAAGCAGGAAGTGCAAGATCAAGGTGCCAGTAGGGCTGCTTCCTCCTGAGGCTGGGAGGGAGGGTCTGTTTTCGCCTCTCCCAGCCTCTGCAGCCTCTGGAATAGATTAGGCTTGTGGGTGGTCGTCTTCTCCCTGTGTCTTCCCGCCAGGACATCTGCCCTTCTCCCTCTACACGTGTCTGTTCAAATGTCCCCATTTTATAAGGACACAGTCATGTTGGATTAGGGCCCACTCAAGTGAACTCAACTTGATCACCTGCAAAGACCCCGTTTCCAAACATGGTCACATTCACAGGTACTGAGAGTTGGGACTTTAACCTCTTTTGTGGGGAGGCACAATTCAACCTCCAACCAGCATAGATGTGGAAAATGGAAAGAAAGTGGGAAGGGGAGCGGGCCGGCAGAGCTGAGGAATGTGACACTTCCACGCACATCTTCTGTATGTCTCTCTCAGAACCACGGTCAGTGTTCTCATACCCCCCCCAAAAAAAAACATTAATTAGCCAGACATGGTAGCGCACTTGTAGTTATCAGCTA